CTAAGATTTTAACATATTTATTTATGCCTTTGCGATAGATCCTTATGGAAGTCTGGGAACTAACAAGCTACAGCTACAGTAAGCGATTGCTGTTGTTTGACCGGATCTAAGATAGTTATAGTAAATAACCACCAAACAGTTATAAATATCTTTTTATCGGTAAAGTTTGCTTTTGGGCAGTGCTACGGTATTTGATCTAAGGTTAGCCAATGTATATTTCGCTTTTCGTTATTGTAAAGAATCCACTTTTTGTCAATAAAACAATTCGATCTAATACATATTTTCTATATATACATATCTCCTTTTCTTATTTTTTTAGTTATTGATTTGATGCAAATAGGTTGATATTGTAGGTAAGGTAACATCAAACCGTGCCGCTGATTTTTGGGTAGGTTTACTCAGCTCGGCTTCCACCATCTCCTTCAATTCAGTGTTATCAGCCTAAGTGAGCGGTTTTCCACGTGGTTCATATTTTAAGTCAAAGATTCTATTGTACAAGCCACTATTCTAATTTTTTTGTCCTCATCAATAGCCTAATAATGTCCTCTATAATAATATAAACTTCAACCAGTAGGGAAAGCCTCAGCCACAGCATAGAATAGAGAGATATTTTGATTACTCTCAGGGTTCTACTATATTTACATTCAAAATAACTTTAAATTTTTAAATATGAAATTTAAAAACAAACTTCTTAAATTAATATAGTTAAGAGCAATCACTCACTATAAGTGATTAACATTCGAGTAAACTGATTCATTCAATTTCTCGTGATTCTTTACAATTGTAAATTCAATTGAAATTCTGTTTTAAATGTAAGTGTATAATTGCCCGCTACCCTTATTAAAAGCTTGTCAATAGAGTAAGCTGGTCACGTGAGATCACTATCTGTTAGAATAAGAGAACTGTAACAGAGAAACTTCGAGACAATTCTCGCTGTGAATTATATCTTCCACCAGGACAATTCAACGGGTTCAATAACCTTATGTTTATACAGCTCAAGTGTTTTACCAATTTGTTTTACAACGCTCTTTTAACTGTTTACCAACGTAACGAACTTAGATAGGGTATTTTATATTCGCATTTCATCAATAGAAACGTTTGCACATGTTTCAATAAGTATAGTGCCTAAATGTTTGGATAAGCTTTAAGTATCAAGCATTGACAGATTAAAGAACATTAAAGATTAATAACGAGAGCTCGCTCCCCAGATTTCATTGTTAGGGTTCCGTTCAAAAAGTGTAAGATACTAACCCTATTAGTAAGACTTCATTGACGTTCAGTCACCGTGAAAGATAAACAAACGAAATTTTCAGATGATGCACTTGTGTTGTCGTTTTAACAACAAATAATACTAAAAAAAAAATTTTAAGGGGCTCCCATACTCCCGTACATTTATATTACACTTTTTGGTTTAGAAAAGAAATTGAAGATGTCAGATGTTAATGATTGGCGATAAACCGTCTTATTATAAAACAAAGAATACTAACTTTAGTCCTCGTTTTGTAATAGTATTATTATGTTCTAATTTTTGGTAATCTCTTCTATATGTACTTTTTATATTTCTGTTATTTATTATTTATCCAACGACGATTGTAATGGACGTTTGTGCAACGGGCAGATACTTTAATATATTTATCATAAATATTTGGTTTTTGGGAATGTCGTTATTTCTGTTGGAGCTGGTGAGTTTTTTTTCCAGAACGACAGTAGGCAAACACTGGACGATTCATATTTATTTCCATTAATTTAAATAAATACAGATTATTTTGATTTTGACTTGAAAATTGTAGGAAATGTTATCAAGTATTATTTGCGATAACTTATAATTTCATCTTAAGTGTATCGAAATATAATGTTAATAATGAATACAAAGCATTATTCTTTCTTGCCACGTTTGAAAAATAACCTTTGTATTTACTAATGCATTTTTAAAATATTGGAGTTACATTCAAAACGTTTCTGAAAACAATAACCTTTTCTGTTACAATATTAAGATCCATATTTCTTTGGAATCACTGTTTTTACGAGTACAAATACAGTATCCGTTGTTAGTATTGTGGGATTTTATATTCCTTTACGTGCAAAAGATCCAAGACGTGACATATTATAATATCTGTTTAAAGTTTCTTACTGATATTACAAACAGTCATAAAGTGCGTTAGTTACTAGGATTACTTTTGCGCAAGACATCCAAATTATATTAGGCTAAAAGGTCATAAAGCTACCTGAGTAACGTCCAAGCAATCAGGCTTCAAAAAATTATAATTGAAGACACGAAAGCTAAGATATCTAACTTAAAATAAACCATAATAAGTGTTTTATGTTTTGAGTTAATGTGTCTATGTTATTATTACCTTTTACTCTATTTTCTTTTATGATATTGGCATGGATTTGGCGTTAACATAGTTTTATGTGAGTACTGTAACTACTGTTAAAAACTTATGAGTATTTGCGTTAATACAAAATCTCATCAATCACTCTACACTTAAATAATAACTGTCTTTCTCATAAAAGTACTCTGTATACCGACTACTACTCGTCGAGCTGCGATGCGCTTTTGAATTCAATTCAATTCAGAATTGAAATTTGAATATTTAAATTCTCTCCTCTCTCGATACTAGGATTGAACTATTGACTTAATTCATTGCAGTGTTTAGTAATTATTAGCTTTAATAAACAGTGTTTCAGTGATTCTGATTCTGAAGTATTTAATGTTAAATGTTATCGAAAAATAACCATGCAAAGGGGTTGTTAAAGCTGACATGTTGATTTTTATAATTTCACATTGGTCAGAATGGAAATTTAAAAAAATAACACTATGCCGCAAAACTAATGCAATACAACTCATAAAAGGAAAATATACATATTATAACAGATCATAGTGACAAAAAATGTGCACCAAGTTTTTCGACAAATTTACACATTTATGTTTATAATTTTTTTTTACGCGTTCTGAATACATTATTTCTAGTCTAAAACTAGGGACATAGAGTTCATTATTCCCAATTTTGTAAATTATTACCAAAATTTGTTTACGGGGTTATACAAGATGTATAGTTTGTTACACATAATAATATATACAATTAGGTGATATATACTCTTTGGCAAGTTGCAAAGAGTAAGTAAGGTTTATTAGACAAAAGTGTGACTGATGCTGACTTGCAAAAGTGAGACGCCATTTTCCTCGTAAGCAATATATATCCCTCGGGATATGTAATGAGAATTACTTGACTTACGTAGTCAATACTTTACATAACTATTTTGTTTTACAGACATTGAAAAACACAGTCCTCCGGCTAATGTATCTTCATCTACAGATAATAGACAATTAAAAAAAAATTAGTTAATTAGAATATTCGATAGATATTTTGAAACTGCATTTACAGATAAAAACATTATGCTTTTGTTAAAATTAAGGTTGCCAAATCGCACAAATCAGAAGCTCTACAGTATCGCGACTAAAAACGCTTAAATCTAAAAGTAGTCTAATTTTTTCACTACTTTATGTTAAGTAATATACAGATTCATAATCATTTTGCCATCAAGTGTAATCTTGCTCCTGTGGTACGTGATAACGACTTTCAACGTTTAATATTTTACTATAAAAGAGTCAAAGCTATTTCAATTCTCGCGCATCACCACTCTTCCCTGGTTAATACTATCTCAAGGAAAACTTCGCATCTGTTACAAGTTATTCCTTAAGCTATACGATAAGATGAACAAAGAAAACTGCAATTTCTAAACTGCTTTATATTCCTAGCATCGCTTGACTTTTGTGAAAACAAACCTTATAGCTTGTATTATTTTATAATTAAATCTGTGAATACTGGAATAAATTAAGCAATTGAAAACAAAATTCAATTATTTTACTTTAATACCATCTTTGTTACTAAAATTAATGTTTCCATGAAAATAATGAGAGCGTAAAGAGAGAGAAAATTATTTTTTATGCAATAACAATAATTGAATCGTTGAGGATTACCGACTGAATGTTACTTGGATTTTTATTCAATAATAATAAGTATTATAATAACAGTCACAGTCACAAAGGCTCTTTGAGGAGTTTGATAATCTGCGGTGCGTGTATCAAGAAATTTTTCCAAGAACCGATCATAGTATGGGTGACTAAAACCTCGCTGCATCTGCAATATTAACACTCACTATACAGAACTCGGGCCGCGTTGTAGTTCGTTATACCTATTTGAATTTATCTATATTTTTCATTAAGCAAAGAAATATAACAGAGTAATGATTGCATTTATAATAAAAAATACCAGTTTTCTACTAGCGATTTCACCACCGAGAAAATCAGCCGCAAGGTTTCATGTTTATATGTTTTTTTACTATGACAACATTTCATACAATTTTCAACCCTTATTGCGACCCTTTAAGTCTATTTTTGCGATAAAAACTACCCTATTACTTTTTTAAGGTCCACTCTATACATATCATTAAAATTAATTCAGTACTTTAGGCGTGTAAACGTAACAGACTATTGTGACTAGACTATATTATGAATTATCTAAAGTCTAATAATCCTATCCACTAACATTTACCAAAATATACACGCAATATTACGAGTATAAATAATCATTAAAAAATATTAGATATCTTGTTTACACAACTAAAACAAGACAATTTAATCTTAATAATTGTCCTAAATTCACTCGGAGATTTTAATTAAAACATTGTTTTGTCAAAGTCATACAACGGGGTTTGTATATTATTGGGATTCCTTTCTTTTGTTTCTTTATTAACGCTGAGATTAGACTAATATTAGGACATTGCTGAGATAGAGTAATGTAGTCAAATGAAATTATTTTAATAAAACTCAAGTAGTATTTTATGTATGTCTGTTGCGTTATCAAGAACAATCAAAAACTATAAATAGCGAATTTAAGGAGTCTGTTTAATCGTCAGCGAGGGCAGTAATTTAAATGATTGGCTATTTTCCTTATAATTTTCTGTTTTTACCTTTAAATTATACCCTTATTAGTTAAATGTTTGAGATCGTAGAACATTTACGTGGTACTGCTATAGAACTGCTCCAATCCCGTGATTTACATATCATTTTCGATGAATCGTATGTCCTATCAAATTTTATAAACTAACGGTGGGATGCCAACTTCAACTTGTTCAATTCATCTACATCAAATACCATATTTCTTCAATCGAGAGTAAGATGTATGCGCGCAGTAAAAACTGACATTAAGGCGTAGACAAAACTTACTCAAGTCTGTCATGCTACGAGTGCAGGCGTATCGTAGCCGATAGCAATAGTTTGCTACGCGTTTGACTACGGTTGATTGGCGATCTAGAAGCTAGCTGTAATTATATGTACACAATGCTGCTCCTGAGTCGTTAATGACATGACGCCAGGTTAGACAAATGTGAAGTTTGCGAATATTACAAGTGCGAATGTTTTTAATCGTAAGTGGAAAATAATGAATTGTTGTTATAGAGTAGGAATAATTATAGATCATTATTCCATTTTATTAGATAAATAAGAATAAACTCTCATAGTAAATGTTGTACAATATCTTCATAATTGGTTAAATATCAGTTAACTTTTAGTCGAAGTTATGTTAAACGATGAAATTAAACGGTCATTCCGTTATTCCGTAAATAGAGATGATCGCTGTAAAATAGCTGCCTAATTGAATTTGGGTGGGTGTTATACGAAAATGAGCCAACCTACAAAAATATTTAAGAAACTACGGAGCTTTTTAGGGAATTGACTCGGATTTAGGAGGTTTTTGGGCAAATTCCGACTCAATTGGTATATTGGACAATTGGTATTCACAAATCAATTAGAAAGAGAATTTGATCAAACTTATTTTTTGCATAGAGTTATGTGTTGGTATTGGTATATATAAATTAATAAATAATAATTGGTTTGACGCAATAATAACAAAAGCAATCCATTAATACCATTGATATTTTATAGAATTCCATTTCCTGTGTTTTTTCGAAATATCGTCTTTCCTTCTCGTCTTTTCATAGAATTTGGACAATGCTCTATATTGACGGAAATAAATGCAGTTTTTTTCTAGAGCATAAACTTCTAAAAGTAAACAGTAACATTTTTCACGTTCATTATTGGATTTTTTATATAAAACTAAAATAATCGTGTTCTATTCCTATCTAATGAAAACTATTAATATCTACTAATAATAATTATTAATATCTACTAATCGGTTAAAGTAAGTTTTTTGACTGGCTACTTTTATATATTATTTAAAAGTCATATTTATATAATCAAATAAAATTTTTGGCATTGCTGTTTTACTAAGTTTGATATTAATTTTAAAAATGTATGGTTGTGTCTTAAATTTCTTTTAATAATAAATTTTGTTATGGATTTTCATTATTCGTGAATTTAGCCATTGCTGCATAAAACAGTCCAATAACTTCTCTGAATATTTCAGTTCTCAACTCGAATTAGACATTAATTCCGTTTAAAAACTTGCTCTCCGTTTTCCATAATTTGAATCAAGATATTTTTTATAGCAACTCCGTTCAGTCAAGTTTTGTCTTTTCTTATGCTGACTTTTCGGTTATATCACCAAATTCTTATTAAAATGTGAATGTAATTCCGTCTGTTTTTATGCTTTCACGCTTAAGCCAATGAACCAATTTAGATGAAATATTATAAAGAGATATCATTAGAACTTGGTAATGTATGAATAATAGGATATTTTGTATATGACAAATCGTCCCACAAAGGGTTAGAAAGAAAGATAATAATTGTAAGTACATAAATAAGTGGCATAATATTTTCTTTTAAGTAGATGTCAAAACGACTGATAGCTTTTTCATGCAATATTCGAAAGAGGCTTGTACTGAAAATATTAATTAAATACAGACGACACTGCAGGCAAAAGCTGGTATTATATTACTTTATTTATACAACAAGTCAATGGCTTAGTCACCCGTAACAATAAACAAATTGAATGAAAGTGACCACCGAGTCAAGGAACTAAATAATTGTTAGAAAGTCAATTAGTAAACTGTGTGATGGTTATCATAAGTCTATCATCTTGAATGTCAGCCATCACAATATGAAACACTATCATAGTAGTTTTGGTTAAATGACAGTTACATGTATTGTCACGTGGAGTGGATAGGTAATTATTGAAAGTTACAGCGTTTTGATAGTTTCGTAGGCCAATTTAAACTTTCATAGCTTATGATTGAGATGTTATTTGAAAACACTATAGGATTACATTTTTTAAGATCTAAGTCGTGTCATGCTAATTTCGTACTGGATAGAATAAGGCAAACAATTTGGGACTAAACTATTCAAAACATTTTATTGCGTACGCCGAGAATTTTTAATGTCATCATCATCATCATCAGCCCTTTTACGTCCCCACTGCAGGGACTCAGGCCTTCCTTATGGATGGTTAAGGAGGATAGGCCATGACCCTCCACGCTGGCCCAATGTGGATTGGAGGGTATTAATGACTGCAAATGCAGCCGGGACCAACAGCTTAACGTGCGTTCCGAAGCATGGAGTAGCTCGAGATAATAATTTTTTGGTCACCCATCCCGTGACCGACCCTTGCGAAAGTTGCTTAACGACAACGATCCCGGGCCGCGGCGCTTATCCACTACGCCACCGAGCTACTTTTTAATGTGATTTTTATTAATACACAGAGTGATTCAATAGGAAAGTTCCTATGTATAATTTAAAAATACGCGGCTGAAGGCGCTGACCGAAAGCTAGTAAATAATAAAGAAAACAAAAAATCGGTGACCGCTATTATAACAATACTATGTGGAAACGTATTGTTATCGTTTACCTACCGTTTATATACCTATTGTTTTTCTTTCGACGATAATATCTTTGTAAATGCGATTGTTTATTATTTGTAAGGAAATTTGTAAAAACTACTAAAGGGATTTTGATGAAATTTGGTATACGAATAATTCTAAGCCTGAGGTATCATAGAGGCTACATTTTTATCTTACTAAAAAGTTCTCTGGTGAGAAATCTACTACTAAGTCTTCGTGTACTAAAAAAGGACGTGGGCAAAGCCGCTGGCTGGTTTGCTTTCTAGAAACCAAATGGAATCGTACAAGTAGATTTAAACATATTTTTAAAAAGAATATTATTGGAAACTCAGAAAAACCGTAAAGATGGCCCTAAAATGAAAGAAGAAATTGTTATAAAGTAAATAGGTAACGGTATAGTCCAACCTTGATACAAGATTTAATTACAGATTCCAAAACTAGTCCCCGAGGTGAAAGATTATTTGGCCGGTAAGCCTTATTTTGCAAATCCCAAGGCGGAGAACTTGTTTATGGAAAAAAATTGTTCGACATTTGGTTATAATTCAGTTTTCCCATTATACCAATCAACCGAGTCTCGAAGGTTGAAAATTATCATAAATACAATGAATTTGAGACGCCACGGATAGCTTATTAAGATCTGATAGATCAATTCAATTTCCGATGGTCGCGAGACAACTCAAGAATTATTGGAATTATTGGGTAAATAAGATGATTGATACAAATAAGATAAATGTGAAGTGGTTCTGTTTGGTAACGCAACTGAATTGGTCGATTTTTTGGACTCGAATTAATAACGAAAGGAATAAATAATTCGAAAGAGTAAAGAATTGATTCAGTACATAACTCCGCTATAATCTAATCAATGTTATAATGGACTTTTGTGGGTATTACGGTTAGTTGCACAGACGTCCATTTTTAATGACGCCTTTAAGCTCTTATGAGTGTCAAATTTGTATGAGTAATGTCGCTTTAAGTTAATGACAATATTAATGTACGGTGCAAACGGCTGTTGATATGTTAAATATATTCAAATCATGTTAAGAACTCTAAGATATAAAAAAAAGACTGTAATAAAAGTTTCTGACATTATGAATCGTCTTTTAGGTGAACATTATTTTGAAAGTTTCACGATTAGCTTTATTTATAAAAAATAAAGTGATTATCGTAACTTTCTAGATGATTTTCTATAGTCACAATAATATTTTCACTTGTTATTAGATTACTCACTTCGAATAGGTGTTCCTTGTTACTAAACGCTCTCTTAGCCATCGTTGCTTTTAATTATAGAAACAAGAAACACAATAATATAATTACTGCAACCCTTATAAATATAAAAGCTATCGAATGTAAAAAGACTGTCAAGTCATAAGAGATACATACACACGAAATAGTATTTAGAAAATTAGCAAGGTGTGTTTTTCTTTTCTCCAAGACATCGTTGTAAAATCTAAACTACTCATATAATTGATTTGTTGTGAAAGACAAATTTTATTTGAATTAAATGTCTTTGATGATAAGCATATTTATTTTGATAAGGATTTAATATAACCTATTCAAATAAACGTATAAAGACTGACAAAATACAATTAAAATACACTTTTACGGAGTATTTTTATTTTGTTTGATAACATCTTAGCACATATGCGGACTTTTTTATAGATACACTTTTCTTAATAAAACATTCTTATATCACTTACCGTTTAGACAGCGTTCACAAAAATAGATGCCCTTAGAAGGACTTTTATCTATAGGGAACCTTTTAGCGGGATAAAAAAAGCCTAACAGTGTTATTACAAAAGAGACGTTAAACAGTGTTTTACCATGTGTTTATCTAAACTGTGTTTAAGAATATAAACCCTGTTTAAAATGATGTCTAATTTTCCCTATTACAAATTCATTTTTAAACATTGTCTAAGTAAAGAAACATTCGTACTACTGGCTTTCATTCGTTCATACACGTTCAATTCTATGCACGCTGTATACAAACTTATAATAAATTTTAGACGTAAAAAGATATCTTTTAAACACACTAGTTAATAATTTTTGTAAATGAAAATATTTAATCTAAAATTATCATTTTTAATTTAAATTCAAAGACATAATTCTTATCAAAGTCAAAACTATAGTGAAATATTGTGAAAGGTAAGATACTCCATAAACAACATATCATGTGTCAACATGACATGTGTTTAAATTTTAAACAATGTTTAAGGGTTGTTTTGCCTTAACCAATGCTCAAATAGAACAATTTTTAAACACGTGTTCAACGCGTGTTTATCTTTTTTGTAATAACACTGTAAATGTTTATCCAGAATAAGAATTGTCTATATACCAACAAACATCCAAACCTACAAACTTTCGGCTATATAATATTAGTAGGATAATCTGCTGTTTTCCCACATTGCAACTTCGCTCATATAAACTATCGCTTGCGTATTCTGTACCTTTTCATAGGTGAAACAATTTTCATGATCGGTTCAGTATTTTCGAAGATAGCAAACCCTACAAACAAACAAATTAGAAATTTTCCCTCTTATTATTAATACACGAAGCAGTCCGCGTGTATCGCGTGTGTCACGTGTTCCACGTGTCTGCCACGACCGCCACGATGCACTCGCCCACTCAGAGCGTGCACGTCGTATGTATTGCTCCTCTATATGGTAGGCACTATAACATAAAACTAATTAATTGTAAGTAAATAAATAAAGTGGAGCTCGTTGGCGCATTGGTTAGCGCGCTCGGTTCGCGAAACGGTTGTTGATCAACTTTCGCAAGGGTTGGTCATAAGATGGGTGACCATAAAAATATTAACTGGTTCATCCTTGCTTTAGACGGCACGTTAAGCCATGAATAAGTCATAAAGACTTTCATAGAGGATAGTAAATTGCGATATCGTTCAGAAATTTCATTACATCTTCGTTTTTTTTCTCTATACAGTAGATATTCGACGGTAAGACTTTTGATGAAATCAATATGCAAAAATAAACTGTCATTTATTACTTTCGACTTTCATTCGTGTATCGAAAATTAATTAAATTTGATTCTTTATTTTATTATATTAATATTATTTAATAGAATAGTGGGTTTTAAGTAATGAGATTTCTGAAGATGGTGGTTCGTATAAAGGAATATTAACCCAAATAATATTAAGACAACTCTCATAATTTGTAAAATACTAGACAAGTCCGGACATCCCCTCCATATCTTCATTGGATTTTTGTCTCAGCGCTAATATTTTACAAACTATAAGCGTTATCTCAACCGTTAGTCTACCCTATCTGTAACAATTAAAGTGATATGTCACGCCTCATGTGAGTTCACTACTTTTTGTGGTTTAAACGCCGTTCAAATACCAATCAGAATTTTAATTTACCTTAGTATCAAGTTAACTTTTCACTGTCCTTTTGTGTGGAACTTGAATGACACGTAAATCAGCTATTATCTTTTTTTCTATTAATGAAATATTAATTATTATCAGACTAATACCTAGTTGCACAAACGTCTATTGGTGGTATAAACTAGGGGTCTAATGGTAAAGAATCATGTCCAATTTTGATCTAAAAATTAATGACGCGTCTAGTGATGTGATATATCTCAAAATGTAGCTTATATTTTACTTATTTCATATCATGTAATAAAGTCAGGATAAAAATTGCGAAAATTGATTGATATTTTCCAAAGTTATCCTTATTCGATACGAACCATACAATGATGGTTCACTGCACTACCCCAATGCGATTCGGACCACCCAATGACGGTTGCTACCTTTCGTTTCATCTACTACGGAAATATATTCATTCATCATAAGGTTAAAAAGTGCACGTTAACAATTACATTTCCACATTTATGAGTCAAACAATAAGAAACTTTCATTTGAATTAATTATATTTATTTGAATTAAACTATAAAAAGCTTTTATTTTAATATGAATTAAAAAGCATTTATTTTTAAAGTAACTTCACAATTATCTCGAGTTTTGACAGCTGATATAATTCCTTAACATTATTTATAAATTAGGAATCTCCCTGGCGTCCAGATGAAAAGATGATTAGCTATTATTCTATTTTATGTAAAAGCTAATTTAAATTATCACTAATGGTAGGCAGACACGATCTTTGGAAAAAAAAAAGCAGGTGACAGGTCAATCAATGTACGGATGGTGGTCTGGATTCTTTCACCTAAATGCGCAGACGATTTTTTGTCACCTGTCGTCGTGTTAGAGAATCCTAGTAGTGTTGCTTGTGCAATGTGACAGAAACAATAACTCATAATAACGAAAAATCAACAGTGTACTCATAGTTTAAGTCCTTTCATTTGATATGTCACGCAATAAGTTCGTTCAAGTTTTTTTTTTCTAATCAACTTTATTTTTTACATTTACAATTTTGATATACACAGTGATTAGATACACAAGAGATCCTATAAAGGTTCCATTTTCATTTATTGTTGCGGAATCCAAAGAGTTCGTACATCAAAATATACCTCAAGTTCATACAATAAAATTGCGCAGTAGTTACACGTTCCTCGATATTTGCGAAATCACAAAACTCCTACACCGTAGGTCTTCTCAAATTATTTTTAGACTTATTGTAATTTTGGTTTGTGGGTTTCCGGTAGGCAAAGACTGAAACATGACCACGCGGACTCTACGCGTGATCGTTTATATATTGCAAAGTATTTCCTGTTTTTATTTACCAACTTCCTGAAGGAAATTTTCATTGGAATGGGATTATATTTAAATTGTTATATAAAATATTTGTAATTGTATCTCTGTATACCTTGTCCACATATTTTCATTCTTTGACATGAGATATTTCGAAAAAGTAATAAATATGGACAGTAAATGGATGTCATTCATATGTCACAGTATACACGCTCATATAGATTAATATATATCAATATTTTGCCATTGTAAAGAAATCACGTACAATACAGGTGAAATCGACAAACTCTTCGAAAGAAATAAAACCGAATGTGAAAAGAGTTTAATAAAAGTATTTTTTTTAGTTAATAAAAGTCATATTGAAGTCATGTAATTAATATTAAATGAATCTATATATTATTTTTGAATTATTTTTCACTTTTGTTATACGATTTTGAAGTTCGTTTTATATAATTTTTTTTTTACAATTCTTAACATATAAATCTTTTCTTGGAACAACATTAATTCACGACGACAGGAACAATTTCGACAGCGAACTTTCGTAATTGTGTTACAATTCGACTCTTTAAACAAAGAGAGCGTAATTAATGTACCGATAAAGACAACAAAGATTTTTGGTGAAACATTTGTAATTAAAATCTAATTAAATATATTGGTAATAATATCAAAACACGCAATGTTTGCAAATTATCTTCAGTCACTTTTGAACGAATCTTTACAAAATATTTTTGACATATTTTCTTTGAGGAACATTTTAAACAGAATTTAGAACAAGTATCTAAAATGTCTAAATTAATAAAACATCCTCAACAATTATAAAGTTGTCAAACCTTATTAAAGAAAAATAAATGTTTTTATACAACAAAATACAAAGAAATATTAATTTAAGTAAGGATTTATTAATATTGACTCTTCAAACGGATCTTATTCATTGAAATAATGAAAAAGACAAACAGCTGTGAAGACATAGAAGTAATAAAAAAATAAATTTACCTAATAGTATTGAACAAATCTCCAAAGTCACAGTACAAAAGCTCATTTTGCTTTTATTTTCGTTTTCAATACGATCTATTTGAATAATACTTCTCAAAATCCAATTACTTCTGATATTAGCTTCAGTGAATCGAGTTTCCCTGAGGTCTTGGACATTCAACGAAATTCGTCTCGTAGCGAGATAAAAGTTGAAATAAAAACGGGTTTAAAAGGAAAACTTTACTCCTTTCTATGTGAAAGATTGCTGGATGAATCCGTGATGTCGACCTGGATATCATTGATATTGCAAAAATAAATTCAATTGAAAACCGATATTTATTTTACTGAATTTAGAATAAGGAGTTTATTATTTTCGAGGAGCTCTACAGCGTATTATGACGCAAGGTTAAATTTTGTAAGGTCTATCATAGGATGGGTGATCAAAAACTCACTATCCCTTAGTCTATGTACTAAAAACATGAAATAAGCGAAAAGCGGAATAAATATTAGATATATTCTAAGTATATGAATGGCAAATATGAACCCGAAGAGTGCATTTTACAAAAAATATTTACGATAAAATCGTTCCTTAATAAAATGGACTTATTTCAAATATAAATCTATAATTTATGAAGATAAATAACCCGGAAAAAATCAGAGCTAGGCTTTTAAAACTATTTGAACAGGTCATACGGAACCTGTTACAAAACAAACCACTTTGATGATAAACAAGAAATTTAACTTTATAGTATGTATCAGCAAATAAAAATACATCACTCAAAGCTATAAAATTAATCAAAGCTACTCTATATCTAACTGCCTACGGTTGTTTTTCAGGCAGCAGAGAGTGGCAATGTGGAGGACTTTATGCGCTTATATTTGAGCGAGCCATCGCGCTTAGCAGTGAGAGACGTGAGGGGTAGGACTGCGGCACACCAAGCCGCCTCCAGAAACAACACGAATATATTACACTTCATTAACAACTACGGCGGAGGTACGATATGATAAGTTGTATTTATTTTTAAATCGAAAAGGAGGTATAACCTCCTGTTAGACGAGTATGTATTTTTTTATGTATGATCACTGATTTCTACCCGAATTATATGATTAATAAAAAATGCTTCTAAAATCCACCAACTCCAGATTCTCCAAGATGGGACTCGAACCGACAACCTTTTGCAATCCGGACGACTGCTCTATTAAACCGAGACCCAGCAGGACTGATGTATTTTTCAACTAGTTATTATTTTTTGCCACTAGTGAGTGTATTTTCATTAATGTTCAGGCATTCCACCCAAACAGCCGAAACAAATACTTTTACGAATATTTTATTAACTTTACTTTCGATCAAGATGAATATTGTGACTTCAAAAAAGATGTTTTTTTTTTCAAAAGATCTTAGAACATTTTTGGGTTCGGATTTCTTTGTATATCAAAATAATTGGGTCGATTCTGTTAAATAACAAATATGCTTTGACGTCAAATTTCTATCATAGAAGAAAACAAAATAAACCAGGTATTTAAATACGCTTGGCTTGATGGATCAAATCTAGTATAATCGAATTCCTTTCTATTGATTTATTTTCCTAAACTGCGGTACACATCTTTAGTTCATATGACATTATTTTATTTTTTCATTTAAGATTATTTTTACTCTGTTACTTTTAACAGTTGTTTAAAAATCTGTCATTTTAGAAATATCCAAAATTATTTCATTCAACTTATCATAAAGTATAAAGTTCCTTTAAATCAATTGAATAAAATAAACTTTTGTTTTGGTAAAATGTCCATTTCTCTCCCTTTTTTATGCTACTCATTATCTGAATTCTGAATATTTTCTATAACGCATCATCATTAGCCTTAATTAAATATAGCTGATGCATAAAGCTCGTTCTCTTTATTTAACCACAATTTCTATTGAACCACAGGAAATATTGTGTGTCAATAACTTCAGGCGCAATCGGCGCCGATGCCTTAACATGCCTTAGAATCAAACTTTTGGTCACCTAATCTAAAACCAGCCCTTACTGCAATCGCGCTCTTCAATGTGTTCATTTGCATGAATAACGCTTATGTTATTATTATATTGTTAGACAGTTTTTTGGAACATTTAATTCAAAATAACTTTCTACAAAAACAAAACTCAGAAATAACAGTTCTCGGTTCCAATTAGAGCGGAAATCCAGTGTATTATCATTTTTGTTAGGCTACATTTGTATTACTTGTTAAATGGGGATCTTTTTCTATTCTTAAATTTGGAATTCTCGATGAGTTGACTTGCAATGTTAAGGGTGCTTTTATTGAATTCCGAGAATTCGCATAAGATAACCTCTATGACCTTTATTGTCTTTGTTATCGGGTTTCATGGTGTCGTTATCTATGAGGTCCGGATTCAATTTTCATTAGAGTCGGTGTTACAAACTATTGTTCCGGTATTATATCAGATCCCAAAGATTTATAGGATCCTTTTTGATTTTAATTTCTCAAGCACAACGTATTATTTAGTTTAACGCTTACAAATAACCCTAATTATACATATCTGAATTGAGAACCACTGACTGCTGATTAGTTATTATTTACACTTAAAAATAAGTAAGCCGTAACTTTAAAATCCTAATTAATAAACATTGTAAACTATGATAATATTTTTTTATTTACGGAAACCTAATGCGCTAACTGCGCTATCAAACTTGACTGCTTCACCACTGGTTTTGTGTGGCTTATAAATATTGAATGTTATCAAAAGAAAAATAAAGTCAGATCGATCGAAATAAAATTATTTCATAGCGATTTGAGATTGATATAACCAATAACCATATCTATTAGACGATCAGTCAATATTTTGTCCGTAATATACAATTTTAGTAAGGCCCTACATTATTGTCATTTAAACCTATATTTAGATGATATTATGGAGTTTTGTGAAACCAATGTAAGAGATACGATTGGGTTGACATATCCATATGAATAAAAACTCCAAATTAAATTCAAGAACAAAAAAAAAACTGCTTAATTACTTCAAAAACCAAAGTGGTATTTAGCATATATAATATTACATTGTAAGGATTTCGGGGGTTGTATTCTGACAAGAAAGTAACTTTATTGTGGTCTCTCCTAGTCAATAACATTAAAAATATGTAAGCGAGCATGAGGAATAATGAAAACTAAAGAATATACGACCTACTTTATCGTATTTAAGATTCTTATTGATGTTAGTCAATTTAAAGCCAACTATTCTGTTTTTTTTTGACTAGGTATATAGTTCCTCATTTTGTTTGTTTGTAATAAAAAGTTTGTTTCTTCGGAGAAACTGATCCGATCACAATAATAATTCTTTCACCAGATCATAAGCGGGTAACGTCACCGGACAACAGCTAGTTAATCATAAAACAGTTTACGATTCACCAATTGAAACGGAGTTTCGGATTATAACAACATCGTTTTGCTCAATTTCTAATTATAATAATGATAATATATTCATACAAATGAAAAACATAATTTACAGACATTACTAGCAAAATTCTTATTGTACTACTTACTGAGTGGGGGTAAAGTTTATGTTGATTCCTCAATTTCTAGAAACTTACCCGTAACGTGGAGGTAGTCGAGTTGTATATTATTAGACGCAACAGGTCCTCAGAAATTAGTCGCGTTTGAGCCGTACAGGGGAGAGCGACGAGCATTTTTTGGCAGCGCGTTTTACGATTAGACGAATTTATATCTTAAGGTGGGACGTTAAAGTTTCATTACTTTTGGCCAATCTAATTGTTCTTATTTCATTTTGGATATTTACATATAATTAAATGGATACAAAGTAAGTTCGGAAGCTTAAAATCATGAAACAATAATATTATTATATTCTTATCTGAACTAACGGCGGACGTATACCTCTTTGCCCTAAGACTTTTTTGAACGTGTTGTGTTTTAGTTTACTAATTTTATTTTTTTTATTGACCGATTTCAAAACCTAATCTATATGTTCGACGGTGATGTATTTTTTCATTATTTTGTGATTGTAAATTCGTGACATATCGTTTACTAGTAAACCACTCACGGTTTTGCTTGCGTTGGTTACATTATTCATCGGTTAACCTGTACATCATAAAACTATTCGTTTGATTTTTAGTTAAATCTTCAATCCTGCCAGTACTTAATAGATCAGTCGGTGGTATTTGCTTATTTTTGTTTAGTTTTATTTTTACTGAATATGAAATCAGATATTCTTTAACTAACGGATGATAAATACACTTCTATATAAATTATAGTTTAGAAATTAGATTGGAACATATTTTTATAAATATGGACTAAATCATAACGCTTTACGGTACTGGGATAAATGTAGGAATCCTAAATCGTCTACTTAATATTTTTCGTATGTCTTCTAATATGTCTATGTCAGTCAGTTTATGCTCGTTGTTCGCTTTATATATATTATATTATCAGTAAATACTTTTTGACAGATCTGAACTCTCGAGACAACTCTGGCAACACTCCACTTCACGTCGCTGTCGAGAATGAGGCACTAGATGCTGTCGAGTTTCTACTACAACAGTGAGTATTTTGATAAACAAATTTGTACCCTGTATCATACGTAACACAGGACAAAGTAGAGTTGTGAAAAAAACAAGCGCATACATTGATGCTTAATTGAGGTTTTACTCTATCTGAAATTCTGAATATTTGGAAACGTATTGAGTTTCTTAATATAAATAATATATAGAGCATAACTCGTGTTTGACAGCCTTTACTACACTGAAATGGAGAGGATCCACTCAGCTATACTATTCTATTTAAAAAATCTTCGTCGTCCGCAACGCTATTGTAACCTATTGACGTTTGACGAAATAAAACCTTAATTATATTCTGAAGTAGGTTTTATATGGTTGAACCTATACTGCAATAGCTTTATGGCAATAAAACTTTTTAATTTAATAGTATACTGATATTTTTAATATATATGACATGAGTGATATATATCAATATATCACTCATGTCATATAATAATCAATCATAATCAATAATGAATCGAAATTGGCGGATTAATAAAAATGCTTAAATTTAATATTAAATAGATTATAGCTTGTTAACATTTAATATTGCATTTATTGTTAATATATATACAGTGTTATTTATATACAGGGTGTCCCAGAACTCAACGTCAAACCAAAACGAAGTGACAGGATTGATTGTAACTATCATTAGAAAAATCAGAAAAAATGTATCCCATGTAGTTTGAAAAGAAAAGCCTAGAAATTTGATCAAACTGTAACCATTTTTCGGTTTTTTGTGGTTGATTTTTATTATTTTCGTTCTTTTAAACTTCGGAAGTGAAACCCTTAATAATATATCTAGAATCATAGTCGAAAATACAAAAAATAAAATTGTCCCAAGTTTCCTAGAATTAAGACTATTTGTTCAACAATGAATTTAAAATGTTCATAATTTGTCGACTTTCAAGGGCCATTTACCTTTTTTTAAAAAGTACTTGAATGCCTTGGCAAGTTCCATTAAAAATTGGCACATTTAATCAGGGTTTTAAAATGGGACAATACAGTAAATACAGTAAAATCTACTTCGTTGCATATTTGTTAGACCCCAGATCGTAGTGTTGAATTGGAAGAAGACTATAAGGTAGATGTTATAGAATTCATCCATAAATTCTCCCGGTCTCTTAATATTGAGTCCGGTCTATAATATTAATCTTAAACTATAAAGTTTAAGAGGTAGGTCAGTCATATTGAAGAAAGTTACAGAAATGAATCCAGTATTTTGAATAAGAGGGAAATGCCATCCATGATTATACAATATATACTTAATCAGAAAATAAATAGACGAACTACATACATGGCAGCAACGACTGCATTCAAATCTTACAACTAGAATCTTTACACGAACATAAAGAGACGAAGATAACGATCTCTTTTCTTCTCTTATTTTAATACTTATCCCAAGATCTAGACCAAACTACTGATGGATAAGGTTATTCATCCATCGGTAGTTTGGTCAAGATCACTGTAGAAGATTCTACATTTTGTATAAATATTGAAGAAATAGAATTTATCGATATAAACGTAATAAAAATGTTGAGAAAAATAATGTAGTACAGTACTTTTTATTAGATTAATAGCCGTTTTTCTATACTCCATTTCATTCAACCTAATGGTATATTAAATGATGATGAACCATCATGTTTCCATCATGAAATATCAAAGCCGAATTTAAGGGTGGCAAGTACGGTTGTTTGCCCCGGGCTCAAGTATCAAGAGAGCATCAGAATCAAGAGGGTGCCAAAATCATCAAAATATAATACGGGTAGAAAAGAACCAGCTTCACAAAAATGTTTTCAAAATTGATAAACATTAGCTCCCAACGGTAGCTCCCTCACGCTCCATAAGATTGCGTCACAGTGTGGCTGTGTAACATCAAAATAGTTCGATCAGATTGGCATACAATGTCAAGTGAGTGAATATCCCATAATGTAATATATTGAATCAAATAGTTGAACAAATAGGACACTATAAATCATTCAATTCATTTAATAGACCCGCCGATGTATATAATTTTAATAAAAAATAAAATCCCAGCATTAGTGTTTTTTCCCATCGTCCATCTCTATGTGTGAATTCCCTAAATTTATTTTGAGCGTAGAATTATTAACATTCGAAAAGTAAATTATATGATTTTTTTTTATGAATATATAAACTCCTTGAGTTATCAAAATTCTTATAACGATTGTCGATTATCTTCAAAATATCATAATAATTTTAAAATGATTTATTGATTTTCTGCACACGTGTTTATAGACTGGATCTCACTTTATATGATGCGTGGTGAAATTTTGGAGTTGATTGATAAACGCGTGGTTACAGATAGTTTTATAAGAGATAGTAACCCTAAACCAAGTCACAGTTTTATTGGATAACCCTGTATATTTAAAAGCTACAAAACCTTGATTTCAGTTTGTGGGTACTGGGCAACATGCCAAATGTCGATACTACACGAATGTCTCACAAGCCAACGTGACTTGTTCTTTTATTTATAAGTTACTATTGCTTCATAAGGTGCACTATTTTTAATCTGTAATAAAAATGAGTGAAAAAATCCAACTGTAATTACGTCTCAGTCACATACGCGGAGAGAGTGTAGTCCAAAATATTTTTAATATAAAAAATTGAAAACAGTGATATAGCAAAAAGCAACTTTTTTTTAGAAATAGTTGATTTTCGGCTGTAACTCATTTAGTCTACCACTCCGGCACAGAGGCTTTAAATTATAATATTAGTTCTAATTATTATTAACCTAAATAAATACTATCAATTTTAAACTTGTTACCTGTATGTTTTTGCCAAACAACTCAGTAATAAGTAACAGGGCGATAAAAGAAGGTTAGTTTATTTTAGCAAGAATCAACTTAGATTATTAAAAGTTAATATTATTGTGTACGGTTACACAGAAATATTGCATTTGTTCGGTGATTAAAAAAAAGAATAAGCTAGGAATACTCATAAGATGAATAAGGACTTTAAAATAAATCGGTTGAGTAAGGAACATAAGTAAGATGAAAGATAATGCATAGGAAGAGAAATCATAGGATGAATAAGGAACAACCCCAATAAAGTAATGTCAAAAATAAAATCCAAAATTTGTTCTTCTTTCAAATGTAATACATTTGAAATATGGATCTAAAAATAAAATATCATCTTTCCGTTTTGAAATTCGTAAATTCAATTTATATTATTGTAAAATTTCGTTTTTTATACTTATTTCGAACCAGCGTGTATGAATTTTCAAAAGTATACTTATTTATTCTAATTATACTAACTACCAATGATTGTTACAGGCAAGTTGATACGGGAGTGTTGAACGAGAGAACGCAAGCACCAATTCATCTTGCGACTGAGTTAAATAAGGTTCGTATCATATTTTTCTCAACGGACATCAGAGTAGTTTTGTAATAGGAATTGAGTAATCATTATAAATTTTATATTATACCTGAATACTTCGTGATTGTGAAAAGATAATAATTTCACCCCAGAACACTAACATATCTTTGAATTGCAACAGAAAATTCAAAGAAATTGTAATCGACAGCAAGCATAGAGGACTGTAGATAATTAATAATATAATTTTTAGCACGGAGAAAGATTTATTGTTGACCAACGTACAAAAGCCAGATACATTGAGAATACATTGACAAAGACAAAAAGTAAAAAAAATATAAATTAAAAACAAGTATAAAAGCCTCCTTAAAGAGGCCAGTAATAATATATCAAAGTCAAAGTCAAAATAATCTTTATTTAAATAGACTTCTTAAAAGTACTTTTGAATCTTCCAACATTTTTTCCCTACCACTCGTTCAGGACGTCTTTTGGCTGATAAGAAGAACGAGCAAGAAACTCACCAGCTCTAATAAGAGTAATGACATTTACAAAAACCATGTCATTACCAGATCAATACATTATAAACAGAGATAAAAAAAAACTATGGTCTTATAATAATAATAACATAATCATTTAATAATAATGGAAACAAGATAATGAGTTTAGAAGTAATCACCTATCCAGTTAACAAAAACATGGTAAGGCTGTCGGCAATAGAAATATTAGTGTCCTACTATTGAATATTAGTGTATAATCTAAATAATTTCTTGAAATAATAATAAATAAGTACCACTTACTTAGTATATCAATAGCCCATGATAGTTAAGGTTACTCAAACGTCTGTACACCACGACGAATCTACGAGGAATGAGGTAACTGCACTCTGCGATGGTATTTGTAGCGGGTAGTATCACTTTTATGGCTTGCATCATACATTAAGATGATAGCAAAAATAGCCAATCCTTCTTTAATGGACTAATATTAGTGTCTTTAAAAACTGTCTGTAAATATAAGAGACTATAGTTTTTATAATAGTGAAATAATTTTAAAACTAAACATCAACTACCTACTGAAAATTCATGAGAAACACGAATTTGTATCATCTGAAATAGATGAGATGGCCGTCGTATACCGCTTGAAAAAAAAAACAACCGCGTAAACAACATAATGTAACGGTGTGGTATCATCCGACATTGTTTTCTTTGCTTGCGTTTTGTACTTTGATATTTATAAAACCAAATTATAGGTTCTTCATATTATATCAATAATTTTATACGACACAGGTATTTGACTCTTCTTATTTTGTAATTTTAAATTGTACTTATACTTTTGTTTAATTTATGATTATACCCAAGAATTTCCGCTTTTCGATTAAGCTGACACTTTGTACAGGAATGCATTATAATAGTTCATCAATTTTCATTCACAATGCTATAATGGGAAATATTCTTAATAAATCCACTTTGTGCCCGGTACCATCCCAGAGTGCTAGGAACAAACTTGATTTTTCAAACATTTTTTTTTCAGAATGCATTATATCACTTAGGTAACAATGTAATATTAATACGGATTAGAATTGATCTGACAACGGAACTGGAATATAACCGAGTAATTAAACGAAGCAAATCTATTGAGCACTTAAATACTTTAAATGACCTGCAAAGGGATTCATAAAAATACTGGTAAAAACAGCCGGAATAATTTCACGCTAAATCCCTAATTGAAGGTCCTTCACAAAAACTAGCTGAAGAGCTCTTGAAGCTAAACAGAGCAAATATAAGTACAATTGTACGAACCTTGTCTGGACACTGGAAATTAAACAGACACCTATTTAACATGAAACTAAGTGGCAATGGCATTTGCAGATATTGCAAACAGGAACGTGAAACACCAAAAAATCTCCTGTGTGATGTGGACCACTGGTCCACAATCGAAGCGTACATCTAGGACGACATATAATCAGCCCAGAAGATATAAAATCTTTAAAAGCCAGTAATATTATAGACTTTTTGAAGTCTAACGGGCTAAAAAAGTTACTATAGCTCCGGCGGCGAGTCACAATATATCTTCAAGGTTGCAGTGACTACAGTACCTAAAGGAACTAAATAGCCCCTTATAAAAGCAAATATAAAAAAAAGTAATTTAAATACTTACTAAAATGTTGTAAGAATTAGATTTAATATAAAAAAGACATTATTTAGACCATGTTAATGCAGTGGCTATATTACATTAAACAAGCTGTTTACCGCGACTATGTTCTGTCCTCATAAATTACAGCTTATCAACGCCGTAAGTGAAAGAATTTCATCATGAATCATCGGTATTAAAAAGATTACCCCCTACAAACAAACAAAGACAGAACAAACCTTGCCCCTAATATTAGTATATATCTATTGTTCTACTTCCTTTACTACGTAGTTAATTGTGATTCGCTTATAAGACATTTAATCTCGTTAACCCCATCAATTTTAATATGTAAACATTTTATCGTAGAACTAAGCAGTAAGTATGCAAATCCCGAATAAACAATAGCTAGGAACTCGGCCAATTTAATTTTGTTTGTGAAAGAGTCTAAACTTAACTCGAGAATTTTAAATCGATTCTGAACAAAGAAATAAAGTATTCTTAATACAAAATGCTTAAAAATCCTGGTTAGAGCAGTCGCCCGGATTATGAAAGGTCGTGGGTTCGAATCCCATCTCAGGGTGCCAGGAACCAGGGACCAAGTGGATTTTTTTAAGCATTTTGTATTAAGAATAATGTTCAGTATAGCGCTGTAAATGAGAAATTAATCAAATATAATAAAGAAATAAAGTAACAATAAGCTAAAATTAAAAGGACACAACAAAATATTTGTAGGTATAGATATATTTCCTGAAAGGTTTCAAGGCGTTGTTTTAACATAGTTAATATTTTATACTTATGTATAATTAAAAAAGAGTTATTATTATCATCTATACATACTATCTTCATAAAGAGACAAAGTTTCTAACTTTGTTTGGAAGCTGAAAAATTCTTTGACCTACGTGACGCTACATCCTACGCGGGTGTTTTAGCTTATCAGTATTTCCGAACATTACAACCTACAAAATGTTTATATCTTTACTACCTTATCTTTATATAATATTAGTATAAATAGTCAAAAATCCTTTTAGTAGGCTATGATTTTAAAAATTCGCTCTTGATCGTCTTTTTATTAAAACAATTCGTGAAACTTTGATTAGTTTCCGTTATAAACGCCGTCAAAAGTCATCCATCTTTGCGGGAACAATTTTATAATATCGCTATCGACCTAGAATATTTCTATTCTAAAGACGGAGTGGCGACAATTTTAGAATACATAAATACCTTAGGTAACAGTATTTTTAACATGAAAACTTTCTATATAATCCATTTTAGAATGATCTAGATTAATAATCGTTTAGTTAGCCTATACCGAACAGTGGGTTTCGTACGGCCGTTAATGATGGTTTAGTTGTCCGTTGTAACTGATTGATATCTTTTAATAAAATCTCTTTATTGAAATAAGCTTAATAAAAGTAATTTTGAATTTTCTCATAACGTCTCTCACGCCTTTGAACATTTTCTATATAGTCGTGACGTAAGGCTCCCACTCCTCAACTTTAATGCCTATTATCAAAGCTACTTTTTGATAAATTGAAGCAAAAAAAAAAATTATATCTGATTGACAGACTAAATAGAATTTCGTTTCTTTTTTACCCAAGCATAAACTTTATTAGCCTAAAGCCTTAACAGAAGTAATGAAAGAAAACTGTCCTCACCAAGTCAATAATAACAATAGAAATTTATTATTTATTAGTTTGATGGCCTTCAGCGTATTATTCTTCCAATCTGTAATATGTAACCTTTACTCATAACATTAAATAAAAAAAAACAAAATCAAAATTGATTTATTCAGTTTAGGCTTTTACAGAGCACTTGTGAAAGTCGAAAACTACGCCATCGGTTCGCAAAACTACGGTAAAAATAAATAAAATCAAATTTATTTATTCAATCTAGGCTGTTACAAGCACTTGTGAAAGTCGAGACCTACGCTAACGGTTCGTAAATCTACGGCGGAAGACCTTGTACCGAGAAGAACCGACAAGAAACTCGGCAAGGGCTGCTTTTTTCTCCCTGTTTTATTTCACACAGAGAAGTCTTATTGAAAAGTTACTTTATTAGAATATAGAGTCACTTTTCATTACAATATTAGAAAGTAAATACAATAAAGTTAAAATATCTAACACCATGCCTTTTAGTCATTTAGATATTCCTTAACGGTATAATATCCTTTACTTTGTAGACAATTTTTAATATGACTTTTAAAATGATTTATTGGCAAATCTAATACATCACTGGGGATCTCGTTAAAGTATTGTATACCTTGACCCATGAAAGAACCTAATACCTTCTGTAACATGTAAGAAAATCATGTAAATCATGTAATTATTCTTCACACGAGCTTTACATTTTATGCTTAGGCAGTTTAGATTTAAATGTAGTTAGTGTTATATCCACTTCAGTACTTGTTCTTTTTTGCAGTTAGGAATTGCACTCGAATACTTATACAAAACGATTTCGAAGAACAAGAAGATAATGTTGATCCTTTAACATGATTTGGTACTAGCGACTAGCGATTGGAAGCGTTTTTAGTAAATGTAATTGCAACCTTTTTGTGACAACGGATAATAAATTTTCCTTTATGCCAATTTTTTTTTTATTTGAAATCTTTTGTTAACAGGTTGCTGTTCTTCAAATATTTGCCAAGTACAAGACCCAATTCAACGTTGATTTGGGCGGGGAACATGGAAGGACAGCGTTGCACTTCGCCGCTATCCATGACCACGATTTGTGTGCTAGGGTCTTGGTACGTCAAGTGACTTGAAACTTAATATATGGGCAATAAAATATTTTGGTTGCTATTTATTTATTTGACCAATCAACATCCGTTTATAATTAGATTATTTTGCTTTGCTTAACCTTACAACTGACTGTTTTATAGGTTAGGTAATTCAGCATTAGCTTACAAAATTTACCTGTCAATAATTTCACAAGTAAGCTATAGAATTACATTGTAATTTTATTAGATCGTATACTACTGACTTGATTTGAGCAAGCAAAATCATAGACAAACCTTGTCTATCTAAAATTCTTATGAATTTTCACAATTTAGAAAAAGAGACAATCACTTTTTACTAAAGACTAATATTAAATACGATTTCACAGACTATTAAATTAAACTACCGATAAAATACCTCTTATTCGCTTTAATCAAGTATGATATCCGTACAGATTACAGATCTAGGCGCCCAGTGCAAGATACCTTGCAACAACGGCTATTATCCAATACACGAAGCGGCTAAGAACGCATCTTCGCGCACCATGGAAGTTTTCCTTCAGTGGGGCGAGTCGAAAGGCTGTACGAGGGAGCAAATGATATCGCTCTACGATAACGAGGGGAACGTGCCGTTGCACTCGGCTGTCCATGGTGGCGATATTAAAGCAGTGGAACTTTGCCTCAGGTCCGGTGCTAAGATATCAACGCAGCAACATGACTTGTCGACGCCCGTACATTTGGCATGTGCACAGGTAAAATATTTAAAAAATAACCAACCTAGTGGGTGTCGAATCGTTTTTATTTCGCTCTGGTTATTAGGGTTCAGTACATCTTGCTGCACGGTGTCGTCTTTTTCTGCCGCTATCTGTCGCTTAGAATTGCTGATTGAGAATAGGTCATATCATACACGCTATCTTTCTTGCTCTAGCGAAAGGCAGTTCTCACCGATAGTAAAAAACCCTAGCCTAGTCTAGCAATTCAAGATGTGGAACTATTCTAACAAATTTATTAACATTTTCAAATACTTTGTTATCATCAACGGCATGGAACTCAAATAGAATCATCTTCCACGACACTTAATAAAGCTACCAATTATTGTAAATTCGATTCTAAAATATTGAAAACATCATAAAATATAGCGGTGAATAATTGTCATCTTCTTACAAACAGATCTTTTAGACAGATCTGAAATACAACAATTTTAATATTTTTTTAGTTTATGATATGAGAGAAAATAATACACAACGAGTGATTTCGTTATATATTACAATCAATATGTATTGTTGTGAAGGGTGCTCTGGAAATAGTGAAGCTGATGTTTACAATGCAACCAAAAGAGAAGATGGCCTGTCTCACCTCCTGTGACGTGCAGAAGATGACGCCGATTCATTGCGCAGCCATGTTCGATCACCCAGACATTGTCAATTACTTGATATCAGAAGGTTCCGATATCAACCCTCTGGATAAGGAAAGGAGGTCACCTTTACTTTTGGCTGCGTCGAGAGCCGGATGGAGGACTGTTCACACATTGGTAAGTAATTCTTCGCTGTAAATCGTTCGTGACGTCAGTATTTACAAAGTACATAATTTCTTGAGGAGCTGTGATAACAAAGTGCTTAGCTCGTTCGCTCCACATAGGATGGCCGACCAAAAAAATATTATCTTGAGCTCCTCTGTACTAAGCACATTAAGTCGTTAGTCCGGCTGCATCAGCAGTCATTAACCCCCATCAATCCGCACTGGGTCAGATTGCATTGTCCCTATTTCGATTCGATTTCATCCATAGGCAACGCTTGTACCCCAGTAGGGGGGGGGGGACATCATTTTATCCCGTGAACTGTTATCGTTATTACAACATAGTTAACAGAAAAATGTTACTATACATATTAGTAATAGTTATTTAAGATACGAGTGCGGAAAGTAAGGTTTTACGAATAAGGGCCAAATTGAAGAGGGCCACATATTGATAGATTGTCGAGTAGACTTAGCTCTGCAGCATATGCCGTAATGAAGATACGTAGGTTAACTGACATAGATACTGCCAGATTAGTATACTTCAGTTACTTTCATAGTGTTATGTCATACGGTATCCTATTGTGGGGAAATGCTGCCGACATACAAACAATTTTTGTGCTTCAGAAAAGAGCAATTCGATCAATTTATAATCTTAGGATTAGGGACTCTTTAAGGGAGAAATTTAAGGAAATAGACATTATGACTGTTGCTTCTCAATACATATACGAGAACTTAATGTAATGTAGTTTGTTTTCTATTAAAAGTGATGTACACAATTTTAATACAAGAAATAAAAATAAATTAACGGTGCCTGTCACTAGACTGCAAAAAGTTAATAACTCTTTCAAGGGTCTTTGTGTGCGCTTCTACAATAAGGTCCCAAGCAAAATACAACAATTAGATATCATGCAGTTTAAATCTACTATTAAAAAAATACTTATTAAAAAAGCTTATTATAAGGTATCCGATTATGTAACAGATAAGAACGCTTGGACTTGAGATGATCCAGCAACTGGATAGGTGATTACTTCTAAACTCATTATCTTGTTTCCATTATTATTAAATGATTATGTTATTATTATAAGACCATAGTTTTTTTTATCTCTGTTTATAATGTATTGATCTGGTAATGACATGGTTTTTGTAAATGTCATTACTCATATTAGAGCTGGTGAGTTTCTTGCTCGTTCTTCTTATCAGCCAAAAGACGTCCTGAACGAGTGGTAGGGAAAAAATGTTGGACGATTCAAAAGTACTTTTAAGAAGTCTATTTGAATAAAGATTATTTTGACTTTGACTTTGACTTTGAAAACACGAGCGTAGCGAGGGTTTTCATTGGCACGAATTCGATAAACCTTTTACGCTCAAGTTTCTTACAAAACTTTTCAATGCTTTTTGCGAGGAAATAAAACAAATATATCGGTTAATAAAATTCAATATATATTAAAGGTAAAAATTAAACGTGATATTTGAACATGTTTTCGTGTCATACATTTGACATATTTCATCAATTTTTTTAAATTTCTTTGGTGCTCGGCGAAAAAAATTAAAAAAATACTTTTAAGCACGTGTGCAGTAAAGGATTTCAGTTCATTTTTATTTAACACGTATTTAAAGACTCACTTTCGGTGTTTACAATGGATTAAAAAAATAGCGCTTTATGAACAACTGCACTGAAAATATTTTTTTGGGGTAATACAGTTGTATATGATAGCAATAATGGTGCCATAACAGTGGGAATGAACATTTATTAACAACACATACTTATGTGGAATGTAAACAAAATGTAGGTATCTCGACATATAGAAAAGGGCGTTTTCGAAATGGACCCGAACCGGTATCGATGCCGGGACCGCAGAGCTGGCGGTGGTCGTTGAGATTATTTTTGTCTAACACGTTTTTCGTTTAAAATGAAACATTTGAGAACATTAATGTATTTATAATCGTTACACAAATTTTAGTATATGAATTCAACAACTAGTGTTATCATTATTGTAGCAAAAGTTACACTAAAAGTAAGTCTATAATATTGAAATTATTGAAAACAAACAAACTGTAATTATAAAGATGTCTTACCAAAAAAGCTACAATGACAATACCTAACTTACTTAATTATTTGTAAACAAATAAAGTTTAAATTAATAAGTCGTATCAAAGAATCTATGAAGTTGCCGAATGATTTTAATGATGCTAATTTTTTATAATTATTATCAATCCTCTTATATTTTTCAAAAAAAATATATATATATAAACGCATGCCACTTTGTGATAAAAGCTGATAGGAATTGTCATACAATTCTTTTTTTTACTCTTTCCAGAGATATCTCTTTTCTAGATGATCTCTTTCTAGCTTTTAGCGTTATGTTCTGTTAATTTTATAAAAGGTGTTATGATTTTGCGTCAATAACAACGAAGATTTTAAAGCCAAATTAATCTTATTATAAAGTTATTAAAGTCTAAAATTAAACACGTTTATTTTATCGAAACTTAAAGGAGCGCCTAAATTAGAACATAGAAGCATTTTCGAATAAGACAAATTCCAAATAGTCAATCTACCTAGAGCAAAATAGGTAAAATATCTACCTAGAGTAAAATGGGTAAATGACATAATAACACTTAAATATCACCAAATGCTAATAATTATACAGAATTAGTCGTGTGAATTACAATATATACACACAATTATCAAATACCACAGACTCGGTATGTAATTAACGCTGAACTGAACACTCGTGGTTTGCTTATTATCAATTCTTTATATATGAAAAGTGGGGATATTCCTTGCTTTTGAAAGAACTAGATGAAAATAAATAGTAGTTAATAAAAATAAATCACCATTTGATACAACAATCAAAACTCGCATAAAAGGCAGTTTGCAAACCTAGCAACTTTAGTTTACGCTATCGGCAACTTATCATAAGCTCTTAGTGACCTTATCCGCTATTCATTACCTGTATATTTTAATCGTAAAGATGACAGAAATATAAAAACAACCGTTTTATTACTTTAACTGGTTAATTGGGGTTTCATTCGGTTTGGATTTCAATAGATGGTGTTGGTATATTAATTTAAAGTTAAAATTAATTCTAGTTAATTAGACAACCTCCAATAACTAAACTTGGTCGGTCGAGTGATGTTCTGGATAATAACTGAATCTCATTACATTGTAAACAATGACCTCTAAAATGGTCTGATTAATTGAAATCTGAGTGCATTATTATTGTTTAGTCATCATCATTACCAGCCTGTCAATATCCCCTCGTCTGGGGCACTGGCTATCCCTATGGTCCATCCATCAATTCGAATCGAAAAGGGAGATCGAGCCATGACCCACCATTACAGTGGCCACTGCGCTAACCACTGCGCCATAGGACTCCTCCTATTTCATCATATCTTTTATTTGTAATATAAGTATGTACTGCAGTTGCCAGATTAATACCTATTGCTAAGTCTGTACTCACCCTAAATGTCACAACTTTACCGTTTGTGCACGAGGCTTATGAAATATGTATTATATCAGATTCAGCGGCATTGATATAAGGGGATGGAATATATCGTATTTCTTAAGCATTTGAATATTGGAATATTTCGTACTCTGATATATATCGAAACAAAAATGGTTTATAAAAATGATTCAGGAATAAGACCAGGATACATGAATATATTCTATTTATTTTTCAAAACAGTATGCATGTAATATTCATTATTACCACATATCTTCATAACTGGATAAATGGATTTACATAATTGAAGTATTGTTAGTTTTGTTCTAGCAGTTCAAGGAAAATCAAACATGGCGGCCGTGCGAAGCCATTGTACATACTTAGTAAAAAAAACGACTACAATATGGGTATCAAATTAAAAGGCTTGTCAAAGGGATTTCAAAAAGGCATATCATGATTATCATTACCGTAATACTGATGAAAAAATACATTTATATAAATAAATGTCCATATGGACTTTCTCGCTTTCTCATAGCAATTGTCTAACAAATAAGACATATAAGATAATTTTACTTTAAGTTCCAACTTTTTCATTTGATTTCTTATTCGTTATTTAATGTCTTTGAATCACAAAGTTTTTTATATATGTAGTATTCGACATTTCCACTTATTAATACTCAACATTACAACATTCATTTAAGAAAAAAGAAAAATAACAATAATACTGCAAAAGGTGACGATTAATTACTACTAATTACAAGTGGGTAACCACAGAACAAATTTTCCGTGTTCTGTGTGGGTAACTATATACATAATTCAATAATGTTATATTGTAGGTAAGAAATGTTTGTATAGGTATAGCATTATCGTGAAAGTTAACTGACCAAAAAATATGCAATTAGGTTAACCTTGATTATACAATAATATTATTAGACACCGATTAAATGGAATTCAATGCCCCGAAAAAACTAAAGGATCAGAGCCCGAAAACTCTCGAATGCAGTTTCAGTTTCGGTTGTAGTTTTGCCAGCTTAGCCACTGAAACACGTTTTTTTGCCGAAACTCGATCGAAACCGAAACCGATCATTCGTGTCTGGAAAAAGGAGTTTTTCAATTAATAAAGAAAATTGAATTAAAAAGCTTTAGAAGCTCGATGCCGCACTCGGTCTACGATACCGTAGTAAAACAAGTATGGTAATGGCCGGCGACATTAATATGCTGATTATGTAATTAAATACTTCAAAAATATATTATTAGATTATTTTGGGATGCTTCTTTAGTTTTTTTAAATCCATCATTCCACATTGGTCCCACGTTTCCGCCCCGTCCTCCCTATATGAACGTATACAAGCATAATATGATGATCTTATCATTTCAGATCAGACTGGGAGCTGATATACAGCTGAAGGATATCAACTCCAGGAACGTTCTACATTTAGTTGTCATGAATGGTGGGCGACTCGAAGACTTCGCCGCTAGTTGCAAAGTAAGTGGATAAGATTAAAAAAAGTGACCTCTGAGGTGAGAGTGGTGTATGTTGTGAAATTAAATTATTATCGCGCTCTAATGTAAATCGGGTGCGTAATATCTAGGCATATTATATTATATAACAATAAAAATGATATGTTATTTTGTAATACAAATATCAAGCCATTGACTGAATGTCCCAATCTGAAAAATCAATCACAGACAGAATACATTTCTATTACGCGCAAAAAAGTTTTAATGATTTGAGTACGATTCTGGAGCTGGATCTTTTTATTTATATTTTATTAAAAAAACACCCTCGAACTGGCATATTAAATAAGCATCAATTAAATAAAAACTTCGAAGTAGGTTACATTTCATCGAACTTGGAATGTTTATCTGAACCAGATTTTGTAATTTCATTTTACCCAACAAAAATGAAATGGGCAAAATGAAAGAGAACTCAAAGTTAACGACATTTGACATCCACCATTAGATGGATCTTCAAAAAACTTACACAAAATTTTATAACACGAAATAATAATTCAAGTTAACAATAATCCCGTGATTTGATTACTAACTACTGTAATCAAAATTGAAGATTTACATGCGTAGTCTTGATTATAAATAGTCATGATTATTTTTGATCAGATTATTAAAACGATTACAATAGTAGTTGGTTACGCCCAACTCTGATCCGAACTTATTGAACGACATAACTGAATGTTTCAGAAAATCGTTTTTACAGATAATTGCACTGTATTGATTCTACCGATAGATTTATTTATATATGAAACTAAACTGTAATTAGGTATATCAGTAATGACAAATAATGATCAAATTAAAAAAGTGCAGGCTTTGTAAATAAACATATACAGTGTTATTAATAAACAAGATTTAGCGATGGAGTAAATTTACGCTGAGACTGCACTTAGTATTAGTAAAAATTCATATTATTAATCAGAGACTTGGCAAAGGTTTACCTAGTACGAGGTTTTACTGGAGTAATATTTACTTATAGAAGGTAGCAGGTTTGCTTATTCTCTGTATAATATGAATTTGGACTAATACTAAAAATGCAATTAAAGCGTAAATTTACTCGCGAAACCATTTTTTATTAATAGCACTGATAATGTTTTAATCAGCCAATCCTATCCGTAGCACCAAAGAAGGTAGATAAAAAAACGAGTCTGTCAGTTAAGTCGATATTTCAAACAGAATTTGACCAAGAATTATTTTTTTCATTATATACTTTGCCATGCTAAAATAATTTGCAACATTGAAAGCAATTTATAAAAGACTCACTTACCCAAGGTGGAATCTAATAAAAGTAATATCATTAGACTTTTAAGAAGAGTAAATCGGGCGTTTAACCGTCGGCCCTCGACGATGAAAGTTCTAACCGACTCTTTATTGCTTCACAAACTTATGCCACTCGGGACCGGTGTCCGTGTTGTGAGATAATAACATTAATATATGTCTGGAGTCTCCTTTACGATATTTCTTACTAGTTATGTAGTTCTATTTTATCGGTATATTGCCAAACAATTATCATTTTTATTTGTCGAAACTTTGAGTAGGTTTAAATTGACGATTAAATTAATATAAAGTTCTGTCAGCTCATTTAAGAGATTATTCCAAATTGTAACTGAAATATTCAATCTAAACTGACTTCTAGTAAAATTCTCAGTATTCTTCATTAAATCTATTGAAGCATTATTTTAAATTTAACAAAGTTGCTTATATGATTATAATCCAACAATTATTTTATTGGATAACGAAGTTACATCGCCTTAATGGCGGAATTATTAGGTTGAACGACAAAGCTCCAAACACCGTGTTAGGAGATCAACGTGACATGAAAGAAGACACGTGACAACAATCGAAAGAGCTTACAATGCTTAAATAGTTCAACTTCATTTAAAGGGTATTTAAACGAGTGACTGTAAATAAAAAAAAATAGGTTATAATATTACTTAGTGGACGACTCACTGCGAGCGACTAGTAATCGACAGACCAGCAATTTACAAGCATTCATTAAGCTTCATCAGCTCAATATGAGTGACCTAATATATGAGTGCCAACGTTATGTCCTATTTTTTTTTTATATTTGCCAAATGTTTTATTTTTTTTTGAGCGGCATTCATCTTAAATGAAATGTTTCTAATAGAAAAAAGTACTTTGAAAAATACTATAGTGAGAGTAACGCACTATGAGCTCACATTTTATCTTAAAAAAATCTTATTAAAATACACTATATTCTTAACTTGTAATGAAATACAACATATGAAAAAACAAAGAGAAATGAGCTTTCTTTCAATGTGACTTGAGCCTAAAATGTTTTTCAACGCTATGATGCATAAGTTCATAAACCAAAGATTAAAATAATTCATATACAAAGAGAAAATAATATATCACAAATAAACATGACATATATGACAAATATAAGCGGTGGCAGTGGAGGATTAATCGCAATTTAAGTTTATTGAATTTTCAATTTCACACACGATGATTCTCCGTTATACTAACGTACAGTAAATACATCGAAATGCTTAATGAAATGTTAAGGGTTAGGGTTAGGCACAATATGATAATAATGTGCTCGCCGTGTGATATGTGATCGCAAGGCGATGCTAGCTGATATCTCATAACAAGTAAGAATCATACGTAGGCGGGATGATAAATAGCTAGCCCAACCCATATTTTGTATAATAACGATATAAAATCTCCTTAGTATTTTACTCATTGGTTCATTAGCTGCCAGTGTTCCAAAATTCAAATAGATCGCATAGTTTTTCTTTTAAATATTGACATTTCAAAAAGCATTCTTTTGTTTTGTCTACAAAATGGATAAAATTGAGCTACGAGCTGTGATAAAGTTTTTGCATTTAAAAGGATTAAAAGGTGGAGCGATTTTTTTCGGAGAGGAAGGATGTTTTGGGAGAAAATGCTCCTTCATATGCGACCATAAAAAATTGGGTGGCTGAATTTAAACGTGGCCGTACCAGCACCCAAGATGAACATCGTCCAGGACGTCCAAAAAGTGCCACTACTTCAGAAATTGTGATCAAAATTCATGATGCAGTATTAGCTGATCGAAGATTAAAACCTTCCGAGATAGCTGATATTGTAGGCATCTCTAAACAACGAGCGTATTACATTTTGACTCAAGAATTATGTATGAAAAAATTATCCGCAAAGTGGGTACCGCGATTACTTACAGTTGACCAAAAACGTGTTTCACAAGAATGTTTGGACCGCTTTAATAGCAATACAACAGATTTTCTGCGACGGTTTGTTACTACAGACGAGACTTGGGTTCACCACTATATTCTTGAATCAAAAATTCAGTTTAAACAATGGACGGAAAAAAGTCATAGCGTCAGTATTTTGGGATTCGAAGGGTATATTGATGATTGATTACCTTCCAAAAGGACAAAACATAAATGGCGAATATTATGCTGATCTACTGGATAAATAACAAGTGTGTATTCGTGAAAAAAGACCCGGCCTGGCTAAAAAAAAAACTTTCATCAGGATAATATGCGCGTTCACACGTGCCTCACTGCGATGGCGAAATTCAAAGAATTAAATTATGATTTGCTACCACACCCAGTTTATTCTCCTGATCTGGCACCATCTGACTTTCATCTATTCCCTAAGCTCAAAATTTTTTTAAGGTGGACAAAGATTTGACAATAATAGCGAGGTGATGTCTGCCGTGGACAGTTATTTTGAAGGGCTTGAAGAAAACCAGTTCAGGGATGGCATCAAGGCTTTAGAGCATATATGGATGAAGTGCATAGCGCTTAAAGGAGACTATGTCGAAAAATAAATATACTTTTAACACACTAATTCAAGTTTTTCTATGCTAGGCTAGCTATTTATCATCCCGCCCTCGTAATTATTGTCTAAACTTAAAAAACACTGAATCTTGAAAGAGAATAATATTTTATGTGTAGAATTTTTATTTGCATGCATTTATAGTTGCAGGCTAAGCCGTAATTTTGACGTCATTGTGTATATTTGTAAGATGTCCACGCCGTTATACAGCAATTATTATAACTTACTTTTTTGTATGAAAAGGTTAAAACAGATGGAAGAAGCGGGAGAGGTATGACAGGATCGCGCAAAATTAAATGGTTTACCCCGCCGGGAAAATGAAGTATTAGATTGATAGATATAGAAATTATATCCGATATTAACACTGTTTTCTCTTCAGCGTGCTGTTTCATAAATAAACGTAGATATTATACCTACGGTACATTACAATAGAAAAAGGTGGACATATAATCTTAAGTAATCCAGAGACTTATTACGAACATAGAACATTCTTAACATAGACTCTAAAATTAAATATGTAAATCTATTATAGCGTTCCATTTTCGTAGTACAACTAAAGTAGACCTAACACTAACATTCACGACGTGCTACTTATCATTTACTTAGTTAAATACTAATATTACATGTGTTTTGCATCTGATTTAATTATTTCAGAATATTAAACGCATGAGTATTATATTTTTTCAAAGCACACAAGTCACGCTTGTTTCCGCAGAAATTTAAACAGAGGCAATTTATAAATTTGCACTTCCGTACCTGATACACCACTTTCTTTGTGCACACTTATGTATGTAAATTGCAAGCCTCGATGCTCCACACTCGGTATTTATTAACTGCACTAGCTTGGTTGGTCATGTAACTGTGCTTATATCTACGGTTATCTCAGCCGACGCCCCGACACTCTCTTTCATCCTTCCCATTTTATTGACAACTAGCTTTTTCCCGCGACTACGTCCACTTGGTAAAGTTACTTTGAGCAGCATTTCTAACGAATATTTATTTATTTTATCGTGTAAAATACCTGAAATAAAGTTTCATCTCCTATTTTATTCCCTTAGAGGTGGAATTTATCAAAATCCTTTCTTAGGGGATGCCTACGTTATAGTAGCTTTATGCATGCAAAGTCTCACCCCGACTGGTTTAAAATTGACTAAATTTCATACAAACTTTCATACCCTATTTTATCCCCTTGGGGGTAGAATCGATCGAAATCCTTTCTTAGCGGATGTACATGGCAAATTTCAGCCCGATCCGTCCAGTGGTTTGGGCTGTGCGTTGATAGATCACTATGTTAGTCAGTCACCTTTGAGTTATACATATTTAGATTTCAGCGTTTGTGCAAGCGATTTTATTCTTCAAGGCAATTTTCGTAATATTATTAACAGTTCATTCATTATTTTTATGTCTTTCCTACAAGCATCGACGCTTGATCTTCCAGGACCGTTGCGAGAAAAGTCTGGCACAACTCCTAAACGAGAAAGACAACACCGGCTGCTCCCCTCTTCATTATGCAAGTCGCGAGGGCCACATCAGGTCACTGGAGAACCTGATCAAGCTCGGTGCCTGTATCAATCTAAAGAACAATAACAATGAGAGCCCTCTGCACTTCGCAGCGAGGTGATCTTATAATTTATATGTAAAGTAATGAAACTACTCGAAATTCTTGTCATTTTATTTATGACGCATATTGACATGAAATTTTCCTGTTACTTATAAGCATATTTGAGAGAATCTGTGCAATATTAACATTAATATAGATTTCATTTACATGTTTATATTATGAGATAAAAGTCAATAAATGATTATTTCGTCATAAATCGTCGAACGCAAAGTTATCACGTTGTAGATCTTCGACAAATTATTACTTTTTAAAGAAGATTATACATAGATTATACAGGGATTATAAGATTATACAGGGCAATGTATTTCTGGTAATGCCATGTTTGTTTTACCTTTGAAACAGTTGAACTTTCTTTTTTAGCCGTTCTATTTCAAAAAATAGAAAAATCAAGACTTTTTCAACCAAACTGATTTTCACTTTAATTACAACAACAGGTACGGCCGTTACCACACCGCCTGTCAACTTCTCGATTCAGACAAAGGTACTTTCATCATAAACGAGAGCGACGGTGAAGGTCTAACGCCCCTTCATATAGCATCCCGTGAAGGTCATACAAGAGTCGTTCAACTTCTTCTCAATAGAGGTGCACTTCTCCATAGAGATCACAATGGAAGGAATCCTCTACACCTCGCAGCTATGAGTGGATATACACAGACTATAGAGCTGCTGCATTCTGTGCATTCTCATCTATTAGATCAGGTGGATAAGGACGGGGTGAGTTCGCTTTAAGGCATCCGTTGTATTTACGTTTTTATCCAAAAAAAAAAAAATAATGTTGCAGATAATTAAAGAATACTATAATTAGAACCACTTTCAATATAATATTAAGTTTCCACTCGACTAAATTCAAAGATAAAGTCTAATTTTTCCATTGAAAATGTGCAAAACTTTCCAACATAGGAACGATTAAGCTTTGTGACGTATATGACGGATGTAACACAGAAATTATTTGTCCAAAATCACAATAACAACAAAAACGGAAATCTAGAATTGTCTCTAATTTGCCAGGTCTACCCGAACTGCTGTAATTTCATTCAAATTCAATACGAGATTCGAGACAATTCTTTTGTATAATTATATTGATATATAAAATAATGTTGTCAACAGAATACGCCTCTACACTTAGCTACGATGGAGAACAAGCCAAATTCTATTGCTCTATTACTATCAATGGGATGTCGTTTGAGTTATAACAATATGGACATGAGTGCTATCGACTATGCTATCTATTACAAGTTTCCCGAAGCGGCATTAGCTATGGTTACACATGAAAATAGGTTAGAACATCTATTTATTATCAATGTTATGATAATGATCTATTCGTGCGAACTTGCTCAATAAGTGACTAATCACTTATAGTTATTTTAATGACAATGGGCTCAATAACAAGGATAATGACTTGTACACGTACGAGTACTGCCCAACTCTGCAATTTGCATTCATATCAGATCTGCTACATTCCTTTTAGTTGACAATTATACTCACTCATTTTTATATTTTTCGTTCTACTTTTCATATTTGCCTTTTCATCTAAATAATCTCATTCTCAATTAATTTTAACCCCACCCTGAGTTTTAAATGAAAACTCTCAAGATGCGAGTTATTTCTCAGAGCCTACACAAATTGTATTATCATATTTATCCAATCCAAGCGCTGAGGCACTCGATCGTTGTTGTTAAGCAACTTTTGCACGTGGTCACCAACCAAAATAATATTATCTCGAGCTACTTCCTGCTTTGGAAGGTACGTTAAGCCGTTAGACCTGGCTGCATTTGCAGCAGTTAATATCTTCCAATTCGCATTGAGCCAGCGTAGGGAGTCATAGCTCATCCTTCTTATTTAACCATAAGGAAGGCCTTGTGGGGGTGCGGTGGAGACGTAAAAGGGCTGATGATGATCATATTTCAGCTACTTGTAATATAACAAACTCGATCGATATATCGGCGAAGTAAAAGAATGTATTGTAGTATATATATCACATCCAAGGGGTTAAATTAGCCGTCCAATTGGGTGGCTAGCCCTTTAATTGAATGGCGCTAACGGAAACGAATCAACGAGCTGACCTTCAATCGGCCGAGTACGCAACGTTCTACAATATAATATGAATCCGAAATTTATGGGCAGGATTACATGTAAAACAAAATAATTCTAGTAGTGGGTGATTTTAAATAAAATTTAAAAACTCCTTGTTACGATGTATAATCGATACAGACACAGAACTGACCAAAAAGATAATAAAAAGCTGCTTATAATCCAATGCAAGATGCTAACATACATAACATTAACGCAAGTGGGTTAAGCTTAAACTTTCATTATAATAATAATTTATTCATGAGTTATATTGTTCCGTATTTGGTTAGTTAGTAATATAGTGTAATTAAGGTAATGTTAACGTATAATATAGTAAAAATATTTGTTTTACATAACTTGTTTAATAAATTTAATAAGTTCTTAATACTAACGCAATTATACAAAGACAAGATTTGAAATAGTCATAAACATAAAAATATCGCAGTATTCGATTCAGTCGGCCACAGCGCCGTCTATCGAAAGTGAGAGTAAGCAATGTATTTGATTGTGTTTTTTTAATATGTTTATTTCGATTTCAAAGTTTGGTGCTACAATACAACAACAAAAAATAGCAAAAATATAAGTTATTTTGGTCTTGTAAGTCCCATGATAGGATAGAAATTTAAGACGATCGTTTTAATTCGTAGTGAAGCGATCATTTTAAATTTCCAGGTATGTTTTTTACTGATAATAAAAATTTAATGAACGTTTTATTGAACGGGCCAAATTTCATAATGATGCATTACATAATTTGATACAATTCTGCAATGTTAAACTACAGGGAAATGCTTGACAGGATTGTTAGTGTGGGAGACACATTGATGTAATGAAAGACGAAAAATTACACACTAATCCAACCTGCAGAATCTGTGTATTTAGTAATTCCAGATGCGATTAAATATTATGTACTTTGCTTGAAATAATATTTCCCTATAAATTCTGATGCAGAGCTAAAGAAGTAATGGCATTAAGATCAGACCGTCATCCTTGTGTAACGTTGGCACTCATCGCGTACATGCCGAGAGTATTTGAGGCTGTACAGGACAAATGCATCACTAAAGCTAACTGCAAGAAGGATTCGAAAAGTTTCTACGTGAGTTGCGAAAATGTTAGCCAGGGACTTTTGGCTATATTATTCAAGTAGTTAATCTTGTGATATCGGTATACATTTCTTGCATGCAAATGCATTTTATTTTATATTAGTTCCATTGCTTTTCTTATGTTACATAGATTGTTTATCGATTTTTATTCGTATAATATAAGAGATTTCTTACACATGTAAAGATATTCTATTCTAGATTGAATATGGCAGCACGTATTAAAAAAAAGCTAGTGTATCCATGTGTGGTAACTGTAAAACTGTAATATTTTGTGCCTTCAACACTCAATTACCTTAGCAAATATTACCTCCCGTAAATAAATACACATGCACAAGCGACAACAAACCTTACATTATTTTCAAACTAAAATACTATTCATGTTTCGCTTATAGAGGTATATAGATAACTGCTTTATCTATGCTATATATATTTAGAAAGAGAGAAAATCATGGTAGCTGATCTGTTTTTTACTCTCTTCTCTCGCATAGCTAAAGTTAAAATAATCTTTATTCAAATAGACTTCTTAAAAGTACCTTTGAATCGCCCAAAATTTTTTCCCTATCACTCGTTCAGTATGTCTTTTGGCTGATAAGAAGAACGAGTAAGTAACTCACCAGCTCTAAAAAATAAAAAACATTATAAATAGAAAGAGATAGCGCGATAGATAAGTAGTAAGCGCGGTAAGTAAGCATAACAGAAGAAGAGACGGTTTGTTTACTATGCGTGTATCAATAAAGAGAGCCAGTTGTAGCACCATGATCTATTCTGTCCTCGTTTCGACCCTCCATGACCATTATGTGTCAATTACATGAAGTATGCACGTGTCTTTATTACGGTTGATGTTGAAATAATGTTCCAAGTATTAAATAAGCATGGTAGTTTCATTTTCTCCATTATTACTTGCTTTTAAAATTGAACGTTGTAGATATTTTTTATTTAGAACTTAATAATATTTGGATATCTAGATCAAATACAACTTCGACGCGTTATGTCCTCAATTGAAAGATGACGATGGCACAAGGAAAACGGAGAACGTGCCGAAATCACAGAAAATACCGTTGCCGGCGTTAAATGTAAGTCTATAAAACAAACAGATATTGATCAATATTTTTTCGTATACAGATTAAGTACTCTTTCAAATTCTATCAACACTCCAAACTGGAAGTAGACGCGCTGAGACTCGCGCTGAATGATCCAAAATTTCGGCCAGAACCGTTGAATGTTATCAACGTGAGTGCAGAATAAACAGCACTAGTGCATCGCTTAAATAATGTCCAAATTTGCCATGAAATCATTGAAGTCATTAAACTTGTATCTGATAGGTAAATAGGAGTGTAATTTATGAAAATGATATTCTTTTACGGTCTTGAAATAGAAATGACGCAAACTCCAAAAAGAAAACTACATGGCCTTTTCATTGTTGCAATACAAACGAATTTGCTTGAATCCCCATTATTTATAATATGATACAGATTTTGCACCTGCGTTGGGAAGGCAACAATATTTGTACTTCTGTTGAAATAAAGTAGGATAATAACATAATATTTACTTTTATCAATAAATCATTAACAATTATTATTTGATTTCATGGCATACTTATTTAAACTGTATTTGTATCACAGCAAAGCTTTTATTTCACTAAAACTATTAAACGGTTTTTGGTGGTAAAACTATAAAAAACTTTATGAGCTTTATGTAAATGTTATAATGGATTCACTCATGTGTATGCACATTTGTGTGGTTTTAACTCACAGTCAAAAACTCTATTTCAGACACTAACAGTGTTGTATTTATATTTTACGTGTTTTTCTAAATAATCATATTGTATCTATATTATTATTTGTGGATGTTATACGTTTTTAAAATTTACAGGCTATGGTAGCACATGGCAGGGTCGAGCTACTAGCTCATCCACTGAGCCAAAAATATCTTCAAATGAAATGGAACTCTTATGGAAAATACTTTCACTTGGCTAATTTACTTTTCTATTGCGTGTACCTGATATTGGTCACAGTTTACACATACCTACTCATGATGAATGTTAATCCGAGCATAGCTGTGATGAAGAAATCCATTCATAAATGTGATGTTTTATCAAATAATACGTCAGTTGTAAACAATTCAGCGAATATATCTCATTCTAATGATAATATAACGAAAACAATGCCGAAACCAACAAAATTATCGATAGGTAAGATTAAATTTAAATTCTTTGCACTCAATATTACAAATTGTTTTGGAATTAATATTAAATAAAATCTATTGTATTGTTAAATTCATAGACAACTAGTCAATTTTACAGATTTCAAAAATGAATTAAATTAATGTCGCTGAAAATTAGACTGGAATCAGTTATATTTTAAACCGTCGATATGATAAACAGATGTGCTTTATATGCTTTCAGATTTCGAAGATATGATAGCTATGTATACTTGTACCGTTGCTATCATTGTCTACAACGCCATTTGCCTGGTACGAGAAGCTTACAACGTGAAACAGCAAAAATGGCATTATTTAGTGGATCCATCGAACCTAGTGTCATGGTTACTATATATTTGCTCTACTCTCATGGTTTTCCCAACTTTGTTTGGCGATTTTAATGATATACAGGTCAGCTCTTTAAATCTTATATGTTTAATTTAGTAATTGATAGTATTATCTATGACTTATCTTACTGGATATCAAAATTATTTACTATTGTCATTTTCTTGATTTTCAATGATGGAGATCAAAATAAATTTATTTCATTTAACCACTTAATAACATGAAAAGAGATTAGATTTCGTTTTCGTTTTAGACCAAATACAAATGCTTTCCGCGCCAAGCTAACTGAATCTAAACAATTAACCGAAGCCAATGAATGTACATGATTTTATCTTTTTCTTACAGTTTTCAGCGGCATCCATAACGGTGTTTCTATCCTGGTTCGAACTACTACTCTTACTGCAGAGGTTTGATCAGATCGGTATCTACGTGGTGATGTTCCTTGAGATCTTGCAGACTCTCATCAAAGTGTTGATGCTATTCTCCATTCTCATTATTGCGTTTGGACTGGCATTTTACATACTTCTGTCTAAAGTGGGTTTTGAACAGATCATTATCACCATCTGCAAAATATTATTTGTTAAAATTTGCCAAATCTTTGAATTTTTTGTCTTCTTGTTACTTTTAAATCATACTCAATCACAGTAAAACAGCTACAGCGACTTGTTTTTTAAATAGGCTCGATTCTGACTACCCTCTTTAAATTTATTTTTTCTTCACTACGATTCATAAAGAGATCACTTTTCTATTTCTGCATTATTATTATTATTATACAGAGAGTTTAAGAATCGAAGTCTAGTATCGCTATGAATTAGTAAAGCTTTGCGTTCATGACGTCATGAAAATTTGGTATTTAAATATGTCTATCTTAACTACTCAATAAATAAAATTGGAAACTGTATATGGGATAACTATTTAAATTTTTCAGGTACACCACTTTCATATACAAGGATTATATTAGAATTAACAAAGTCCTATGTTTTGAGAAATGCTATCAAAATTCATTTATCCGTAATATATGCTTTGCGAATTCCATAACATGCCAAGTGAATTAGTTTCAGAACAATTTTCAACAAATCACTAACTCTATTTCTTTTCAGGGCCACCATTTGTCTTTTAACAGCATTCCAATGTCTTTAATGAGGACTTTTGCTATGATGCTTGGAGAAATAGATTTCGTCGGAACATATGTGCAGCCTTATTACAAGGCGGAGACTGATATAATGCTACCGTTCCCGATTCCAACTTTCTTTATACTCGGTCTTTTCATGGTGCTCATGCCAATTCTGTTGATGAATCTGCTCATCGGTTTGGCTGTTGGCGATATTGAAAGTGTTAGACGAAATGCCCAACTGAAACGACTGGCAATGCAGGTCTTACATTCTTTTTTTAAATATTGACGTTACCACATCAAGAAAAAAGTTCAATAAATCTGGATAGAAAAAAATAAACATTTTGTAAAATATTGTTGATCTAAAAAATAACTTATGAAGGCATTATTTATATATTTTCAGGTTGTATTGCACACGGAATTAGAGCGGAAACTACCCACTATACTACTTGAAAAAGTAGATAAGGATGAATTGATTGAGTATCCCAATAGCAAATGTAGAAAACTTGGCTTCCTAGATCTCATTCTTAGGAAATGGTTCTGCAATCCTTTTAACGATGAAGGTATTTTGCCCATAGGTATATGTTTTAAAGTTATTTCTAACAATAAGGATCCAACTAGAATTACGTACTGGCTTGTCTCAATTTTCCTGCACAGTACTAATTTAAAAAAGTAGGCTTTTCTCATTCGGAAATAAATCCACTTTTCAAAAGATAAAAGCTTTTTTAAATAGGTACCGTGGCTCTATAAATTATCATCAATATACATTATAAGTCATACAAAGTCAGAACTTCTCTTTCACATCGCGACTCGCGCCTCATGGTTGGTTAAGGAAACAGTTTTTTAAGTTTAGAATTGACTGATTGCATTGTGTATTACATTTAATCAATCAAGAAGAATATATGTTAATTTAGTCGTTAATACAGTTAAATATTCATAAGATCACTTCCAGTAAATAATATATCGAATGTACAATATCAAGGGTACGTTATAATTTTTTCTTTTAATCAGCGATTGCCATTGCAGCTGGTTTAGATTTAGTGCTAGAAAGTAGCGAAGATTACATAACCAATGAACTTGAGAAACAGAAGCGCAAACTACGCGAGATGTCCCAGTTAATGGAGCAACAGCATATGCTAATACGTCTGATAGTGCAGGTAAAGAAGTAGACTATATAATCAGTCATACATAGCGCTGTCCCTGTTAGATATTCAATCGAATAAAACCTTCTTCAATAGGTAATAAGATTTTTTTTTATTGAACATCAAAGCTGTGGCAACGCAGTATTCAATGCTACATTTGACAACACAATATAAAATTTCTACAATCAATTTTGGATTTCAATATCAACAGATTAGACATTAGATAATTTTTTTTTTCCATAATAAACCACTGTGTTGTCTGTCAACTATACATAGTCATAGCTGCGTTTAAAATCTCTGAAAGGATATAGCGCTTAACTTATATAAAGTTTTAGAATATTTTAAGCGAGGCATTACACTTTAACATATTGTACCGTGTTTAGTCCTATATAAATTATTTTTAACCTCAATACTGTAACCACTCAAAAATGAAAGTCTGAAAAGAGGAAATCAGCGGGAATTAACACGATGTTCGCTGAGATGATTAAACTAGGATCCGTACGGGACGTTTTCTGGTTTCTGGAAAGGAAAGCTGGAAAGGTTCTGTCGGATTGGAAACGCGCTGTCTTTGTGCCCTTATACAGAGGCGAGGGATCACGCGTGGATTGCGCTAACTACAGCGTCATTAGTTTGATCAGCTTAGCAGACAAAGTGTATAGAAAAATACTTGCAAGGAAAATGACGGCAACATGCCGCCCTGGTTTGCCGTCAATATTAATGTCAAGTAGGGTTGCTTGTTGGCAATAAGACTATTTATCGTGGTGTATCTCTCCAGTTGTCTTCAGAGAATGATATCTATAAATGTGGGATTGCAAATGGGTTAGTTGTTAACTGCATACTGTATGTAGATGGCGCAAAGGCATCTTGTAGAAAATCCAACTGATCTGCAAACTCTAGTCGCAATGATGAAAGATGGTTTTATGATGAAAGGCTTACAATTAAATGCGTAAAAGACAAAGATAATGGTATTTGAAAGAGACTATAGCAGAACCAATGTAAGGATTATGGTTGGATTATGTTGTAGTACTGGAACAAGTGAATGACTTTGTATATCTTAGGTGTGCTTTTAGTAGGGATGGAAGATGGAAGGTATACCGATAACATTGAAAGTAGAGTAGATCTGGGAACAGTATGAATGGAACGTTGGTGAAACTTTATCCCAACGTTAATGTATGGTAGAGAGAGTTGGTATATCGGAAAAAATAAGGAAGTAGATTAAAGGCAGTCGGCATGCTTTCATTACGTAGAATTTGCGGAGCGACGCTCGCATATCGAAAAGAAGAGATGAGAATGAGAGTTAACTTGAAAAATAGGTCGGTGTATAACTCTACAAAAAACAGAATCGCCCAGTCAAATAAATAAAAGCGGTCTCATACAGAACGCGACTGTCGTTATTCGAACTAACTCTAACGTTTAATACAAGTTATAAGAGCCAATAACGGCTTAGGAAAGAGCGAGACAGTAATACTGTTGTCAATTAGATAAGGCTGACTTGACATCCACTAGTTGGTCAGTATCAACGTGCGAGAAATACGGCAGTTCAAAACACTGTACTACCTATACATATACTAGCGATGTGTAGTTTGATTCGGCAAAACACTTTTCTTTTAGAGGTTTTCTTCGTAATTTAATCTTATTTCAAACGTAATACAGTGTTTTTTTGCTTGTGATATCAGATTTAAAATGATCGGCCAGGGATACTTAACAGTCTTAAAGATATTATTTGAGCCCTGTTAAGCAGAAACACCGTAAGTCGTCGTACAGTCTTTTGGATTCGCGTGGCAGAACGGCCTAAGGAATATCAGTTAGTAAAATTTTGGTTACCCATCTGGTACTACCTTTGCAAAAGATGCTTAATCTTTACAATCGCAGACCGAACGACCCAACATTGCCCCTACGAGTCTTTTATTTGGTCAACGTGATTTAATACATTCAAAACTTTTTTTTTTTTTCAGAAAATGGAAATTAAAACCGAGGCGGACGACGTTGACGAAGGAGTATCACCATCAGACACTCGTATCCTTCCACGTTGGAACTCCCCTAGGATCAAGAAAAAACTTCGAACAGCCTCATCATTCAACAAAGGGGGCTAATCATCGAAAAATCATGCATTCTTTAAGTTTTAGCATAGGATTGTGGTTTGTTATTTGTAATGATAATTTACCTTATCCATTCACATTTTTATAAACTGTTTAATTCTAGCGGTATTGTTTCCAGCACTGCTTTGCTATGAAGTTAAAAAGCAACCTCAAATCCGTCGTCGAACGCAACGCAGTCACCTCATGCTCTTCAGTGGAATAAGACCTTTATTACTTTTTGAAATAGGTTTTTTGACCTATATACTGTGACAGCGCTGTGCGCGACGTCGATTTCAAGGCTGTTTTTAAGACAAAATAGCACTGTTTTAACGTAATGAACAGTTTTTCTATTATTAAGACTAATAAGAAATATGTTTCTTTACATTATGAGTGCATATCAAATTTATGTAGAGCTAATTAAATTTAGACAAGTCATCTTAAAATTTAATATAATCAATTCTCTATAGTTATATTTACTTTACACATTTACAATTATTCAAATTTTAAGTCAAGATTAAATAGCTATATAAAAAAGAAAACATTTATATATTGCCTTAACGATAACAAATTACATATTAATCTTTTTAACACTAGTATTCGAAACAAAAAATGAACAATATTACTTTCATGAATCATTGATATACATTAATTGTTTTCAACTTCATTTAGTATGTATACGTAGAATATACTTAAATAAATTATGAGTAATTAGTTAATACTTTACCTTATAATAAAGATAAACCAAAACCAAGAGTTTTCATAATTAAATCAACTTATTAACATAATATAGCTTTGTGAATTTTAATACATATCAATATTTTGTTTTAACTAGGCAATGAAATTATTTAGCCGAATAAAAGAAACTTGAAAGTATATTATTTCAAATATCCCTTACTTTGTTCGTTTATTTCCTTAAGATTTATCTTTTTTTTTTTAAATGGCGCTTTGTCATATTTGAAGTAAAATATATTTTTTTATCGATTATAGTACATTTCACACATAATTATGATAAAATCAAATAACACTTTAAAAACCCTATGTTGGTTATCTCTATTCATTATGCTCCCGGCTTTTACAGTAACTTGATATACATTTAAACTCCATAATTAAAGTTAGCGTTAAGGATAATGTTATGGGCACAACACAACTATTTTAGGTATAGTAACAATATTTATATATTTTGCATGTAAGTATGTATAAGTAACATAAATTTATATTATCAATGTTTCAAATATTACTGTTTATATTTAGTTAAACTTGAAATTACGCATGAAATCACCTCTATCATCAAATTTTACCAATAATACCTAATTATTATTTTCTCAGAGGCTCTTGCTCTGCTTCTTCATAGAATAGATAGGTAAGTAAGTATTAGAAAGATAGGTTTAAAGCATCTCTTCTAAACAAAACATATTCGGTAACACGTTACATTTTGTACATTCCTTGTCAATAGAGTCTTTGGACAAGTTTATAATCGTATTTAAAAAAAACTTATATGCTTATAATTCTATAATTATGTATAATTATAGCATATTATATAACGGAAACTTGAATTTCTACTGCCATCAAAAAACTTTGCGATCGAATATGACAAAAAATAGGTCATGTTATTATAATTAATAAAAAAAATATTGTTATTATAATTAGTAAAATATTCTTAAAAAAAAACTTAAAATGTTTTTTAAGAATTTTCCATGAAGAATATTTGAGGTCATCTTGGTACTGATACTCCACGTCCTTATGATATTTGACATAACGAGTTATCTTTAAAATGAATTTTATTTATGACATTTCTATTAATTTCTAAACTCTTTATTAGTTGCCATAGAGACCGTCTTCTCTTACTTAAATTGTAATTGATTCATTCATTTTGTATAAGTAGTTTGTACCGTAAGTTATGATTAATTTTAATTCGAATTTAAAGTGTTATAAGATTAGGAGTAAATAGTTTAACGATATTTTATATTGAATGTTGCCCATTACAGATTAATTATATCGATTTGAGAAATGTATAAAATAAAGCTTCCATCATTTTACATTTCCTTCCAAAATGAATGTTTATTTCTTTATATATATATATTTTTTTTACTTATACAGCTTGTTTTTCTTTAAAAACTGCATAAGTATTAGAAAAAATATATATTGAATTTATTCCGTATTCCGTGACGTAATTTAAGCTTAATTTGTACTGTTAATTTATTGTAATTTCTTTTTAATAGAAAAAGAAACCTTTATTCAAGTTGAACAATAGGGAAATAAAAAAGTATCACAATATTTCATATGTTAAATTTCCACAATCAATTATAAATGTTTATTTAAATTTGAAAAGACCAAAGAGATAAGTATAATCAGTTGATTTTGTGAAAAATAGACAATAAACTGTAAAAGTGATAGATAATCCTCAATGGACATACCTATATAATTTTGTAAGACCATTTTCTAAAATTTACTTACAAATGTGTACCCTATTTGATAATGAAGTTTTGAGCAATCTGATCATAAGATTTCAATACGTTCAGTTAGATGTCACTTATTAAGTCACATTTGCTTTTATATCCCATGTTTGGTGATTAATACTGTAAAATATATTAAACTGTCAATTACCAAAGTAGGTACACATAATTTTCTTACGATCAATAAACAAATTCACTAATGAATTTACGCTAAAAAACGCTTGTTGTTCACAGATTAGCTTTTTACCCTTTACAGATATGTATTTTTGGATGAAAGAGTTTATAAGAGTGATAGGTAGGTAGTATAAAAAGGACGTGAATATTGTAATTGGAAGATGTGTGAATATTGAAATAAAACTCTTTCTATTATGATATTTTGAAACTTAAAAACTATCTTTCCCGTTTTCATTTACTGTCTTGTGCAGACTTTATAGACTGCAAATTTTATTTTAATATCATTACCTTAAATATAAGCGAATTCATATACATTTTTTTTATCAATATGTCGGATGTTAAAGTAAAATATCACGGTGTAATTCTGATATTAATAGATGGCATTCATATTGTGAAAATACGTTTTCTGCTTACAGTGCAATATTATTGGTGATTAATTCTTGTGACGAATTCTTCTTTTTTTTAATTAGTGTTTCTATTCTATGATTCTTTAATTACCAATTCTTCTTTCCTTTAATTAGTTTTTCGACACTTTATTTTTTTTTATAATTTGAAAGCTTTATGAATGTTTTTTTGAACTTGTTATTAAAACAAAAGTATTACGAAATAGTAATAAAAAATTAAATCTAAATTTAGTTTATTATAAAGTGACATTAAGTGCATTCTGAGCGCAACATATATAAAGAATATGCAATAGATGTTTTCATTAAATAATAATGGAAAAATAAATCGTAATACGCTATCTCTTGACATCCAAAATAAATGAAATCGTGATGTTTTACCTTAACAATGTTGGCTCATATTGATCCAATTGTCTAATTCCCATTGATATCTTTATTATAATAATTATTATTTTATTTTTACTTTATTTCGGTCGGTTTACTTAATAAATAGGTAACGTTGCTTTACATTCACACATCTTTCTGATTAAGATAGAATGTAAATTCACACAGGGTTTAAATAAAATGTATAAGGTAAAGGTTGCCAGGAGTTTTAGATAAGGTGAGATGTGACTGTTTCATTTCTTTGTCTGCCAAAAAAGGCGCTAGTGTTGTAGCTTGATAATATGTTTTGTGAAAATAACCATTCTCTTTCATAATTATTTATTGTGTTCCTTACAAAAGCAAAAATGTGTTATAATGAATTATATTCATTCTTATAAAAAATAAAACAATAAGAGCCAACTTTTAGGAGTCAAAGTAACGAAAAAGTGACTTCACCTTTAAAAACTAAATTAGCATATTTATAAAATGTACCATTTATATAATTTTTTCTTCACTAATAGAAAACTATGAAAGGAACGGAAATTTGTGTTTTTTATAGAAATAAATTTGACAGTTTTTTTTATCAATAATAAAAATAGCTTTTGTAAAAAAATATGGAAGCCAAAATTATTCAGTATAGACAAAATAAAGAACTTTTTTTATTAATTGGTAAAGTTAATTTTCAAATATTGTCTTCGGATTTTTTTACATTTGGAATACCAAAACGAGACCATTTTTTATTTGTGTAATGTAAAATATGTTTTTAGATTATTAAGCAATGCATCAGTTAATAAATATAATACAGTACAATAAGTAAAAGTTGATTTTCATTTAAATCAATAAGTGTACCTAAACGTGACAGAAGACCCTAAAGATAATTTTAGCTTTTATATTATGTCAATATAGGAATTAAAAGGTTCCCCAATTCTATATTAATTATTTAGCCTTCTATATTAATTATTTACATATTATTAACTATTAATTCCAGTAAACGGCATTGGCGGTGTGTGGTGCTTCTTGTTGCCAAAATTTCTTCAGCGAACATATTATTTAAAAAATAAGCTGTTTAAACGCTTCTCAAAATATATAGTAGGTACCTAAGTGTCAATCAGTTGCATCGGAACACACGCTATGAACTAATTGACAGAACTTTGGATCGTTCATTTTGTTTTTTACTACCTGCCCTACTTTTCTTTAAAAATCCAAACCCGAATTCGAATTCACTCAGGTTTCCGAACTCACTTCGAAAAGCGGCATCCGCTCAACCTTGAGTTGGTAATAACGTTTTATGCCATAAGTGAAGTGAGTTTCGAAGCGCCATGTATGTAATTTTATTACAACATCATCAAAAGCACAATTCTAGGCAAACTATTGCATGGCCTCTCTATAAAATAACTATCGCCATCTAGTACAGAATTTAGACAATTAAAATTCTGTACTAGACTCAACGGATTCATATATCTGTGCTAGCATAGTCTATCTGTGATATGACGTAGGAAATTCATGCGGCAAGTATAATTTACTTTCGTATTGCGTTTTATACGTTTTATATTTATTGTCACACAAAATTAAAATATTCACAGCGCATGAAATCCACACAAATGTGATAGGATGTCGCCAATTATAGTTCAGTATTTGTC